GACTCAAGCAGAGACTATTTTGGCTTGACCATCGCAACGCAGAAGATTACAGCGACCCTTCCGATCCCATGCATAGCAAGACTAATACATGGGAAGTCCACATGGTGACATCGCTCGTAAGGCATCTTCTGAGACAAGGAAAGTATGGTCCTGGCGAGATTGCTGTTCTGACACCATACGTCGGACAATTGAGATTGCTTAGGGATGTCCTTGAACAAGAAATGACCCTTATAATTGGTGAGAGAGATGCCGGGGGACTTGGCGAGGCAGAGTGTGCAGAAACGGCCAATGATCCTAGCCGTCGGCTCCAGGGACAACATGTTGTGAGCAAGGGTAGCTTGCTCGACGCTCTGAGACTGTCAACGGTTGACAATTTCCAGGTACGTAAGATCTGTACCACCTTTCACTTTACTTCACTTCACTATATTGCGTACCAAACTAACAAATGAGTTTAACTCAGGGCGAGGAGGCAACCGTTGTTATTGTTTCCCTGGTCCGAAGCAACAGTTTCAGAAATTGTGGTTTCCTCAAATCACCGAACCGCATCAATGTTCTGCTAAGGTAAGCATGTTCGAGATAATCAAATTGATATTGCACGACCGCCACTAATATCTCTGCACCCAGTCGTGCAAAACATGGCATGTACCTCATTGGCGATGCAAACACGGCATCAACAGCGCCGATGTGGTCGGCTGTCATTGACCTGTTTGAAAAGAACAAGAATATTGGACCCTATCTCGAGCTCGACTGCGAGCGCCATCCACACAATATGATGCAGGTCGCGTGTCCCGATGACTTCTCCATCAAGTCCCCGGAAGGTGGTTGCGCGGAGACATGCGGCTTAAGACTAAACTGCGGGCATACGTGCGTGGTTAAATGTCACTCATCCAAACAGCATAAAGCAGTCAAATGCCTGCAAAAGTGCTATAAAATGAGGCGATGCGGCCATCCATGCGCGAGGAAATGCTACGAGCCATGTGGCCCATGTACCGCAGTTGTCTGCAACGTCATGCTACCTTGTGGACATACGATTGACAGCGTTGAATGCTCTCGCATAGCTAAACTAGATACTGTGCAATGCACAGCAGAGCTCGTCGTCAACTCGCCCTGGTGTGATCACAGCTTCAAGGTGCAATGCCACGAGAGGGGGAAACCCATGAAATGCTCTCTTCAGTGTGGTCTGGAACTAGCTTGCGGACATAGCTGTCAGAAGTTATGCTCCTCTTGTCGGGTCCAGAAGAAGGAAGCGATTGTCCTTGATCATGGTAAATGCATCAGTGTCTGTCGCAAGGGCTTCACAAATTGCACGCATTACTGTGATCGTGTATGCCATCCTGCAACGGCATGCTTACCTTGCCGCCGTCCGTGTGAAGTACATTGCAAGCATAGCCGATGCCCCAAGACCTGCAAGGAGCCGTGTCCTCCGTGCGCAGAGCTATGTGACTTTGGCTGCGAGCACCGTGAAGCTTGCAAGCTCCCCTGTGCTGTCCCATGTGAGAATACTCCATGCAATCGACGTTGCGAAAAGAGGATGAAGCCGTGTGGACATCAGTGCCCGGGAATGTGTGGAGAGCCGTGTCCACCTTCGCAAGTTTGTCAAACCTGTGCTCCACTTGAGGTTCTGCAACAGCAGGTTGACCTTTTGGAGTTCAAGACGTACAAAGAGATTGACCTGGACACGTCGCCCCTAATATTCCTTCCTTGCAACCACTTCTACACTGTTGCTTCCCTGGATGGCCTTTTAGGTATGAATGATTACTTCAATATTGATGCGTCTACAGGCGACATTATCAGCACCAAGCCTTCTCATTGGGGGTTGATGCCCGGGTCAGCGCTGAGGGGCTGTCCAGAGTGCCGCCGCCCGCTCCGAGACATAAATCGATACAGTCGAATCTTGAAAAGATTCCTGCTGGACGAGTTTACACGCAAATTCGTCACGTTTGCCAGTGCACAGCATGCCGAACTTGCGGACAAAATTGTCCGCTTCGAGAAGCAAATTGAAGACTTACGGACTGAGTTTCTTCAGTATTGGACCCTCGAGGCTGGTGTCTCGAAAAGCCCCGACCAAGCCAGAGGCGCGGTACAAGCTTATCGAGCTGCCGGTTTAGCCCTGGTCAAACGGGTCAAAGAATTCGTTAAGTCTGTTGCGACCGCGGAACAGCCACTAGGCAAGTTGAACGACATGCTCGCGTCTGCCAATTCCCGACAAAATGAATCTATGAGTGCAAAGTCCTTCGCTGATAAATCCGTCATACAAACCGGTTTCGGCCTGCGTGGGCAGGTCCTCGCCCTTAGACTCGGCTGGGTCGTACTTAGCGATTGGGACCACATTTGCAACAATCGGAACGTGGATTATCGCATCCGAAATATTCTAGTTCAGCTCACAGCCAATCACATAAAATCACTGATTGAAAAGTGTCTTTCGCTGAAGCAGACCACCATGAAGGCCAATCTTCTGCAAGAAAGAGTCGAAGCTGGGATCTACTTTGCTCTGTTTTCCATGCTTTCGTTGACCAACATGCGAGCACTCGGCAAGACTGTCGAGATGGACACCGAGACCAAGACCCGCCAGCGTGCCCAAGACGACCTGGACTTTTGTGAGAGATTGTGCACCAAGTCGCCGAAGCTCTTGGGCTACCTAATGGAAGATGTCAAAGACGCACAGAGGACCATTAACGAGGGGACGTTCTATGCTCTGGTGACTAGTGAGGAGAAACGCCAGGTGTACAGAGCAATGGCGGAGCAGTTCGCAGGCACAGGCCATTGGTACTATTGCCAAAACAATCATCCAGTAAGTATCTCTGCCTTTTCATCGCTGAAGTGCAAACCCACCGTTCTGTACTAGCCACGACGCTGCTAACGTACTCATCTCATAGTTCACTATTGGCGAATGCGGCATGCCCATGGAGGAAGCACGATGCCCCCAGTGCGAGGCCCCAGTTGGAGGGTTGAACCATCAACTCGCCGAAGGTGCCCGTCCGGCCGAGGATATAGACCAAGAGTTTGGCGAGACAGAGCTCACCGAGCAGGACATCAGGGAAGGAATGATAATGGAGGAGCTGAGAGACGAAATGGTGGCTGCCAGAATGGAAGGGAATCTGATCGAGATGTAAATCAGACGACGAAGGAAACACTGAGGATGGGTGACCAGAAAACGACGGTCCTGAGTGATGGGATAGTGGAGTAAATTGCTGCAACATGTGACTTATCTTGGAAGGTAGAATGAATCAACAGTGCTGAGGATTTGTCGTACTGTACTGTACCCCTCCATCCTACATCCACCAACCCACCCACCTCTGAGCTGTCACCTTTCCCCTCCTCCCATGCGGCATTTTTCTTTCTTTCTCTGCCTTTCCCCCACCGTTCAAACATCACACATATCATTGTCGAACGTGAGCATTGGAGCATGCCAGAATTTCTCGCCCGCGCGTACAGCGGGAAAAAAATGTGGCAGCCTTATCATGCGAGGTGGAGCGGAGCCCACCCAGCAGCGGCGAGGGCGAAAAGCAAACTAAACTCGACCGAGAGTGCCTTGCATGCAGCCTGCCTGCACCTGCAGCTTTGTCCCTCCTCCGTTCCACGTTCACCACTGTTTACCCTGTTCACCCTTCCCCTCTTATTCTCAGGTGGGAAAGAATATCGATGATCGCTCCCGAGCTCTGCTTCTGGGCTTTGCATTGCAGCTTCCGACATCCCCGACCAGCAGCTTGGATCGATGTGATACGCGCAGCGGCCGCGGGGATATTATGCAGAATCTGGAGGGGGACTGTGCTGTGCGGGAGGAGCAAGTTGCTACTGCGGTGGGATACGAGGGTAGATGGGTAAGTGTCTCTTACTGCACTGTGGGTGGTCTTTTTGCTGAGGTTGAGGTAGGATGCTAATGTTAACTAAGAACGACTCGAGAATGACTAGGTTTCCTTCCTAGAAAACACCAGAAAGCGAGGAGATGAAGATGCGAGGATACAGGACCTAATGCTACTAGGAGGACTCCATTTTCATTACACTGATACAACCGCGCTGAAGATAGACATGCTTCTTGCGCGGCCAGAAATCTCCCAACTATCCAATACGAACTCCTCCCTGTCCTCCATCCCCCAACCACCATTCACACCTGCTTGCCTTCAACTCGACGATCACATTCGAGCTCTTGCTCATCGCAGACAACCGCCCGGCCTCTCACGGCCCATACACGATGCAGCAGCAACCAGTCCCTTGGGCATTTCGACATGCAGCATACAGCTCTACCACCCGATAAGACTCTACCTATTTGTCTACCTACCCACCTACCCCGCGGTCCGCATATGAAAATTCAATTCCCTCACCGCGATAGGGCTGACGGAGCTCCAACCTTGATTGACCACCAGCTACTCTGCTAGGAAGGATACCCGCACGAGCTTCCCAGTCACCGTGGGCCCAACCGTGTTTCCGCGCGTGCAGATGCTGTATGCTTGCTTGCTGTACGCTGTATGCTGAAATGCCCAAACTGGATCCTGCCACACAAGAAGGCAAGCAGCTCTCTGCACATGCAGTCGAACTCTGACACCTCACCCTCTACCCCCAAGGCAATTGGGTAATGAGCATCTCGAAGACGTTGAGGTAGAATGAATCACACTCACTATCCAAGCTACAAAAGAAGAGACCAGGCGAAAGAAAGGATATAAACCCCCTCGAGCACCCAGCTAGACCTCCTCTTCCTTCCCAAGCCAGCCAGCCAACGGAGCATTCAGCAGCTTCTTCATTCCAAACCATCGCAAACCCGGAACAACATCATTCAAAATGGCCCAGGACCCTAAGGTGAACAGAATAGCCCTTCCTCATTTCTAGATACCCTCGGCATCGAAACAAGACAAGACAAGCTGACGACACCGGTGAAATAGAACCTCTACTACTCCCTGGACTGGTTCCAGCAGATGAAGAAACAGTACGACGAAGCGGTAAGTTTTCGGTAGTACCCGGTGCCACGCGGACTTTGGACACTGATTATGTGCCTGCTTCACCTAGTCCTCCGACCGTTGCCGTGAGTCTTGGACCCTTCCGCTTTATCCGTCTTTGGTGCACACCGGAAAGGAGGCTGGCTAACCACAACTCCAGTGGGCATGTCTTTCGACGAGGCCGCCAGCCACATCTCCAAGGATGGCCTTTCCATGACCGTCGATGAGGTTAAGGAGTTCGACGAGAACCACGACGGCAGCATCAACTTTGAGGGTGAGTGCTTCTCTTCCTTGTGTACTCGAGCTCTTTCAGCCAGGTACAGAGCTAACAGCTGATGGATACAAAGAGTACCTCACCATGCGCTTCAAGTACGACGCCCAGCGCCAGGGAAACATGCGCGGCCGTTTTCTCGCATAAGCGTACAGATCATGAAACGCAAATGCACATACAACGCTGGAAGGGTGGAAGGGATCGAGATTCTGGTCCCTTATATACATAAACAAGACCCCAGCAGCATGATAATGACAAGATAATGAATCAACTCTAACCCTCTCTTCCCTCCATCGTCTGCCAAGCCCGGGAGAAAGTCTAGGAATATAAACCCATAGGCACCCACCCCAATATAGACAAGAGACTGCGCATAATCCCCAAAGGACCTCCGACTCTCAGAGAGAGAAAAAAGCACCCCCACCTCAGCCCCTCCTCTCCAGCCCAACCAATAGGCTAAGGATATAGAGTCCGGCCCCTAAGCCGGGATACGCAGCACCGCCCTCCCCTTCACCGCAAACCGTCCCAACAAACCCGCCACCTCATTGATCGCCTCTAGATCGAACACCGTCACATGGGTGACCACCTTCCCCGCCGCCGCCATCCGCAGCAGCGCCTGCATCTCGTCCTCGGTGCCCACGGCACTGCCCACGATCCGGTACCCGCGGTCCACGCACATCAGCGGCGAGATGGGGAGGTGATAGTCCGGCCGGGGCAGGCCCACGCAGACCAAGGTGCCGACGGGCCGGAGGAACTCCACGCTCTGCTCGTAGGCCTTTTCGAGGCCGACGACCACGATCACGGCGTGGGCGCCGATGCCGTCGGCCAGGGATTGGATTTGGGTTGTGGGCTGAAGTTGGATTGTTAGTTTTATGACGACAAGAATAATAGAAGGGGGTGGGGAGGTAAGATTTCATACGTCGTCGCTGAAATCAACAAATGCCTCTGCGCCGGATTGCATGCAGAAGTCTCGTTTAGATTCGCTGTAAGATTGTTAGCTGGGATTGATTGTTCGGCTGGAGGTCAGAGACTTGACTTGCCTATCCACAGCAATGATTCTGTAGCCCATTTCCTTGCCGATTTGGATTCCTCTATCCCACCCGAGCATTTAGTACACCATGTATACTGGATTGGAGGGAAGAGCACGGGGAGGGATACAGATGACCAAGCCCCCCGCCGGCACCCATGATCACCACCCAATCGCCCTTGTCGCAGTACTTGTCTAGCTTGTTCAATGCGCCGTACATGGTGAGACCAGCTGGTGGTAGACCCATTAGAAATAGATCAAGCATGTAGACGAAAGGAGGGAAAGAATCATACCACACAGCAACGGGGCAACAGTCTCCGGCTCTAAGTTCTCCGGAATCGGCGACACGAAGTCTGCCGGTGAGACGACGTATTCTACAAAAAAGGTGGGTCAGATTCGCCCAGGTAATATAAGCAGGAAGGAATAGGCTCACGCTGAAACGTCCCTGGCACACTCTGAACCATACATCGTCAGTCAGTTTGTAAAAGTTTACCCAAAGAAACAAAGGCAATATATCATGATTACACACCCTCCCCGAGTTCCTCTGATTCGGACAGTTGGTATACTGGACCTTGCACGTCGGACAATCCTTGCAACTACTCCATAACCATCTAGAAAGCAACAACAAGAAGGGTTAGCATATATACCAAGCACCTTGACTCCCTCAACCAGCAAGCCAAAGGTAAAGGACACGAGACAAAGGGTACAGACTTGATACCAACCCGCATCCCCAACATGTCCCTCGGAGCATTCGGACCGACTAGAGCCCAGTACATACGGTCAGCCAACCACCTCTCACCTCGCACACGATACAACAACAACAACAACAACAACAAGGAGAAGAAGAAGAAGAAGAAGAAGAAGAAGAAGAAGAAAGCATACGCTTCACCACCCTCCCCACCCCCTCATGCCCAACCACATTAACACTCATCGGCAACTCCCCGTAAATGCAATGCAGATCTGAGTGGCTACCGCGTTTCAATGGATGTCAGTCTCTGGCTCAAGGCAAGACAGTGAGGAGAAAGGAGACGAACGCACCAGAAACCAGTACACTCCAACTTGACCAACACCTCTCCTCCCACCGGCTCGGGGACGGGCACATCATGCCGCAATTCCAGTTGCGCGTGCGGGCGCGGATTCTCGATCCATGCGGCGGTTTGTGTTCTGGGGATGGGGGTCATGTTTTCTTGGTTGCTGACGATGAGAGGGGAGATCTTGGCGGGGGATGGTGTAGTGATAAGTATAGAGCAGGAAAAAGGGGAGTAGAGGTACAAGATATCTCATGATGGCAGCTTCGGTTTTGGTTCTGCGGGGGGGAGATAAGAACGGACGGATCGAACTCGGCAATCGCGATCCCGATGCTGGCTGCCGATGGCGGAGATACGGATGTGGGGGTGAAGAAGTGGGGTATATCCGGAGAGGGGGGGTTCCTCAGGACTGATCGATCGGATCCCTGTTCTTATGCTTGGGTAGGGGAGATTCAATTAATGATGATTCTGCAGCATAGTATGGGCTCGATGGTGAATATGCGGAAACATTCCGAGGGGAATAGTAGTCTGAACAAGGTGGTGACTCCAGAGACTACCGCAGACTGAATCCTGAGTCAATCAATCATTGGCATAAAAGCAAGCGTAACAAATGAATACTTGATATCTGCTCTGAATCATATCTCAAGATATTATGACCCCAGATTCTGAGACATACCTGGTAGCGTAGATATTCTTAGTGCCACAATAAGCACTAACCAGATGAGCCTACACTTAACCCCTGCTCGGCCATCCAATCTTCGGACAAAGCTATATCACTGATACTATATAGCTTCTCCCCCACCGGCGCATACATAATAAGCTCCTACCCAGCCACTCTCAAGTTCTAATTCCCAATCAACTCCGGACCAACGAAACTTATATCAAATTGAGTGTCATACAAAATCCAACCATGAAACCTAGCACCACCATCTTCCTACTATCCTCGCTCCTCCTGCTACCAATCCCCGCACCTCTCGTCCTCGCGGCCACCAACTTTATTGAACTCGTATCCCTCCCTTTCCATACCCTTGCCTCTGACCCCATTCCCTGGATGCCAGGATATCTCTAACGTCGAATACTCTAAAGGAAGTGAGTTTCTACGGCTCCACGCTGGGGATCCCCGACTCCACGGCCTACGTGCAAGTCCCCATCAGCAACCGCTCCGTGGTGCCGGCCACCTGTACGGATCTCCCTCTGACGTGAGCCTTTCTGCTGCCCCCCCCCAAAAACCCTCATATAGACGACCGGGACCTTCAAGGAGGTACATTGTTAACGCATGGGAAAAACCAAAGGGCCTATAACGCGACATTGCTGCCGCAGGACCCGCCGGTCGAAGTCGAATGCTATCTTCTTGGGTACGTTATTTTCTTCCTCTTGCTGTGCTGGGCTGAGCTGCGCTTTGGGCCACTGTGTGATGAGTACGGCTGAGTTATGAGACGGGTATCGTTCTTGGGGATATGGGCTGACAATAGTGTACACTAGGCTACCCTGTCGGGATGTCGTGGGGACGATTTCGACGGAAGATATCTTCATCAAACTATTAAATCCGGCGAGGGCGGTGCAGTGTTATCCTGAGTAAGGACTAGGCCATTGGAACTTGGGAGGTGTAGTTGGGAATCAGTTGACAACGCGATGTCCATGCTATAAAGCTGCAAGTGAAACCAGTTCAAAGACGGTCGGTACAGAAAAAGGCTTCCATGCCCACTGTTAATTCCCTCAATTCTTTGGTGTACGCAAGCAACAATCTATCTGAACCATTACCCAGAGCCAAAAGTCTAGGACCCCAAAACACAACCCCTCCTAGTTGGATTGATTCACCTTCGACGCCAAAAATTCCGATGCGTCTTTCGCATACACAGCGTACGTATAATGTGGCGGCGTTAGAAGCAAAATGTCGTCGCACACCACATCGCCCGGCGCGCAGTACACCTTGGTTCGGTCCTGCGGGTAGCCCGGAATCCCACCGCGGTCCTGGATGTTGCGCGTGTACCCAAACAGTGCCACTGCCTTGATCCTGTTGCGGACCTCGTGCTTGATTTCTTGGATGGCGTAGTCAATGACGGCAGTGCCTTGACTATTTATTCCCTTGCGTTAGCTGATGGCTCATGTGAAGAGTGGCAAGGCTAGGAAGGTGAGCCTCCTAAGCTCAGGTAAATCGGAGATGTCGAGAGAGCAAGGCATACCTGTATCCAGCAGCCACGACCTGGGTGTTTGGACACTTGGTTGCCGCCAGCTCCAGCATCGTGGCCGCGGACGCGATAGATTTCGCATCCGTGTTCGGGGTGAGGAAGTTTTGAGGTATGTCGGCGCTGTACATGCCGCCGACACCCTGGCAAGCCACTCGATTAGGGCTGATCTGCGCCTTCAGAGTGGAGCAGAGGGGCGGCCCAATGACTACACCCTATATCGGTGTTAATTCAAGAGGAGATGTGATGATGATGATGATGGGATGCAGTGGCCAAGAGACTTGAAGAGCATCTGGCTTACCATATTGCCCACTTCCCATGATCCACGGACAAAGATCAAAGTGAAGTCTTTGCAGGTTCCGCTCATGATATCATTCGCATTTATCCCGGTTTGACGAGTCTCAAGTTGGTTGGCCTCTGGCGCAGGTAGAGGATTCGCTACGGCCAGCGTAGCAAAGGCAAAGGCACCGACAAGAAGCCACTTGAAATGGGCCATCCTATTGTGGCCGTAAGAGATAGAGTCCAACATGACTTAGTATACTGAAACTAGTGGGTTGTCCATTTTTCCATCAGCACAAGATCCAGCGCGAATATATACTTCCCTCTAGTCACGGTAGCACAATAGCCTGGCTCAGAATCAGCGGTGACCCGTCCATCCCTGACCCGGTGACAACGTCGCTTTCGTCTGTGGCGACCATTTAAGGACATCGCCGATTCGGAGATGACCTGGACCGAGGGGAATCAGGTTTAGTTTCAGGGGCGGATGTAGAAGGTTGGGAGACCTGTGTGCCCCGAGGCAAGGAAATCAAGGTAAATAAACTCCGGGGAGAGCTTACTCGAGCACCGAACCGTAGAACAACAGGAGGTATCCCGGGCTCAACCGATGCGGAAACAGCCGACCGATTGTCAACTCCCAGGCAGAATGCTCGTGCGCTGTAAATATTCCATGGTTAACTTGGGTCGGCACTGTGGTCAATGGTAAAGGGTGCAGTGATCGTCCACGGTCTGACTGTTATCAATATCCTGTTTTTGACGCGTGGGTAGAGTTCTGGTTAACACTGTCAGATGGCCCTGCCTCGGAAAGCTATTGTAATCACGGTCTCATATATGTAGACAAGAGCCATTAGAGAAACCAATCGGTGTCTATTTCTTCGGGTACTTTCTCAGTGGATATATGGCGATACAGAGCGTCAGCAGTCGAAGTAGACCGGTAGGTAAGGTGCTATCACAAGCATTTTGTCGGCTTCCACCGAAGTTTGGTCAGAGAAAAGTTCACCTAGGTACGTTAGCTGGGCCTTGCTCTTGCTGACCCCTGTCTAAAAACCTTTCATGCATCCAGCTCCGAAACCCCTATCGTAACAAGCAAGAAGGACATTCTACAAGCACGGAGGGACACGCTTTCGCTCCTACAAGCAAAGGAAAAGAAAGCATATGTGCAGAATTGGCATGGATATCAGCCGATCACATGCTCTGTGAAGAAGAAAATTATGTTTCGCTCTGTACGTACAACATCACCGCACCTCATTATAAGTGTATCAAAGTGTCATGTACCTCAATTAAATCCTCGTCCTGCTCGGATTGACTCTCACGAGCTTCTCAAGCGTCGGTACAGCGCGTCAATAAAGGTCTCTCCCCATTTCGCACTATCAAACCATCGATCAGTAAACGTCACGACCACGAACCGAACCAAGGACACTCACCTAGTGTTCGTCTCGATAAACTTTCGCAAGGTCTCATAGTTCTTCGCTCGGTCCTCATCGCCCATGGTCACGGCCTTGTAAAGTGCATCGACCATTTCCGCCATATTTGCAGGGTGGAAGGTCAGACATCCCTCTTTCATGAACGACGCCGCCCCAGCAAACTCCGACAGGACCAGCACACCGTGCCGTTGCGCCTGGCACGCCACGTATTCGAACGAAACCAAGTTCATACCGTCGCGCGTAGATGTGAGCAGACACGCGTCTGCGACAGAGTACAATGCCGTCAGCTCGCTGAAGTTGACTGATCGGTGCATGTAGATCAGCGGACATCCGTCGGCCGTTGCTGCAAGAAAGAGACGGTTAGCTAGAGACCCCCGTGCAAGAACGAGAAAGAGACTCACAGTGCTTTCCGTTAATCCTTCCCGCAATGGTGCTGATCTCCGTCTCCAGATCCTGATACTCCTTGACATCTTCGCGACTCGGCACGGCCACTTGAATCAAGACGACCTTGTTGTTGAGCTCCGGATACTGGTCCAGGAACGCGTCGTATGCCTTGAGCTTCTGTGTAAGCCCCTTGATGTGGTCCAGCCGATCCACCCCAATAATGATCTTCATGCCCTTGTACCGTTCCTGCAGCTCCTTGATCCGTTTCTGCACATCTTCATTCGCCTGCGAGTCCGCGAACTTCTGCGGATCGATCCCGACAATGAATTTCTCCACCACCACCTTTCGACCTCTGTACTCGATCTGTCCGGAGGTATCAAGTTTTGCGCCCCTGTCACACAGACGGTGTCAGCACTAGCTCAGGTGGCTTTTCCAGTAAGCATGAAGAGGGGTTAGAAACAGAACAGAAAACCTACAGTGTCTCGGCCGAAAGAACCATGTTCTGCTTGTACTCCTCCGTATGGAACCCGATCACATCACTGGCAAGCATCCCGTCCAGTAAATCCTTCTGCACCGGCAGGCTTCTCCACCAATCACCCGCAGGGAAGGGGGTGTGCAGGGAGAACCCGATCGCGCAGTTCTTGTCCTTCAGCCGGTCGCGCAGCAGCCGAGGCAGAAGCATGAGATGATAGTCGTGGACCCAGATCAGGGTACCCGGGAGGGCTCGCTCGGCGATGGTGTCGGCAAAGATCTCGTTGACGCGTTTGTACGACTCCCAGGGGCCTTCTTCGAAGGAGACACCAGATTGGTAGTGTAGACTAGGCCAAAGAATTGAGTCTTTGGAACGGGTTAGCCTGGCTTGGATTCATATAGGGAAGGGACACACGAGTCAAAGTGCGACCTACTGGAGAAGTTGTTGTAGTGGTCGTGCGCCAACTCATCATCTAGGAAGATCGGAATCGCATTGTGTTCATCCAGGCTTTTGCGAAGCGATTCCCGGTCGCTCTCTTCGGCGACGTCGAGGCCTGGCCAGCCGAACCAGCTGAATTGGGTGGTTTTGGTGAGTCCCGACAGCGAAGTGACCAGGCCGCCGCCCGACAGGGAGGACTGGTAGGAGCCGTCATCAGCTTTCTTGACCGACAAGGGGAGACGGTTGGAGACGACGAAGAGGTTCTGCTTGGTGCTTTCTCTGCGCGCCATGATGGACACACGAGTGAGTGGATTGGAATAGCTGAGAAATGGTAATGTGGTATGTGATACTGCTGCTCTCGGCAAACCGATCTGAACGATGGGTGACACGATGTCAAAAAGGAGATAGGATAGTAGATAAGGTTGATATAGTTTGATGTGCAGATGTAGTATGCAATACGTCAGAATGAAGGCACAGAGGCACGGACTTGACCCTCAGTTAGCCTTGCGAATTGGCATCAGCCTGAGTCTCGGCAACACCCTTGGGAGATGCACACAACCAATCACCTATTGGGTATGCATCAAATGTCATGGTGATCTCCCGACTGTGAAAGAAAGCTGAACGCTGGGTGGTTGATGCACCCAATTCACTTCACCGGCGAAGCTGCTGGTGGCTTGAAACGCTGACGTCATACGGCTGTCATTAGGTACTAAGTATGTCTGGAACATCCCAGTCAATGACCACAACGTTGGCGTTGATTCACCACTTTCTGAAGATACAAATTATATTTGGATCATGGTTCAAACACAAATCGGATATGTACACAGTATCCTTATCCAAACTCCAGGCCCAGCCGGGACACATGCACTGAACACCTAACCATATTGATTTCCTATTGATAATAACTTAAACTCCGTTGCCACCGGCAGATGCAATTGAGAGATAAACCAAAGATATAACCACACAAGATTACCATGCAGAAGTCGAGAGTGATAAGCTCATAAACAGCTCACAGCAATCGTTTGACGGGACTTGGGGTGCGTAAGCGGGTATCCCGGCTACGGCCCCGTTCGGTCGCAAATCCCTTTCCTTGCGGTTGTTCCAGAAGCAGGGGTGCATCCTGTTTTTCAAATCCGGAGGCTGGCCCCTGACCCTGAGGACCCATGTACCCGTAACCTGGGTCATGCTGGTAGGGGTATTGCGGTTGAGCGATCGGCGGATGGTGCTGACCGGAGGCCTGTCTGGTGAAAGCTGGGGCGGGATGGGAGTAATCATGTTGGTTGTAGCGGTTGCGGAAGGATCGGAAGGACCAGTTGCTGACAACAGTGACGGTCGAAATCGTAGCTAGGAAGAACAACTGAGATGATGTTAGCTATGTAGCCAAGCAAGGGTGTATATGGATCCATACAATCGCTTTCCAACTGATAGGATCGATAAAGCTGTTGATGATCACTGCCATCGTATGCGCCGACACTTTGGCACGGCCAACCTTGGCCGGGTCCCGATTCATGCATCGCTCCCAGTTCTCACACACGGTCTCTAGCGCTGGAAGGCGATCGCCGCCGGCGCATCGATTGTCAACGTAGCTCTTCGCACACGCCGCCATCTCCGCTAGAATTGTGTCCGACACCTCTTCAGCCGCCTGATCAAATTCAGCACGGATAGCAGAAACGAAGCCAAAAACCACGTAGACGGCAAGCGAAAATAACGAAAGGTTCACCACCAACTGCGCCCACCACGAGAGAATGCTCGGGATATTTGGATGTGCTTCCAGTAGGGCAAAGAAGTCGGAAAACGAGGCCAAACGCGATCCAGAGTGGCCTTCAGGCTGTGCTTGATCTTGCCGTGTCTTTGTACTCTTCAGAGGTCCCGCACCCGGATTGTCACTCTCGTCATCACTGTCCTCTTTCTTCAACTGTACATCTAGCGCCTTGTCCCTGCGACGTCTCTTCTGAACACGTCGCGCCAGTGCGTTCGAATAGTGGCTCACGCGAGGGATTTCTCCGCGTCCGGGGCTAGGCGCAAACCGACCGTACATGCTGTACAACGAGTTGCGGTGTCCTGACTTCGTAGGTTGATCGGGAGTGTCTTCGTTGTCGGCGTGCTCGGGGGAGGACATGTTTTCGGCGCCGGAGGAGAAGTCGACATCAAATTTGCGAGGGGTCATGAAAGCTGTGTGGCTGAAGGCGGCCTTAGGGGTGCCTGGTGGCTGCTGGGTTCTAGGTTGAGAAAAGAGGTAGGGTTGCGAATTCGGCTCCCGGAGGGCAGGTAAGGACTTCTTTCCAGGGGAGTCGAAAATACTGTGAGGGCCTGCTGGCATAGTTAGCTTCTGGAAAGCTCTCTCCATGCAAGTAACTATAACGCTCAAAGTTGACAGACACACGTTTTCTTTGGTTGTCATGCTTCATGCCGACCTGGTAAAAAGGCGACGTCACATCTCCGGGAGGTTTGGACTGCCACTCGAAGTCCATCGGACTTTCCGCCGTTCGCGGCTCCATTTTGTCGGAGAGAAAGTGGTAATCAGTGCCAAGAGGGATGGAGGAAGGAAGTTAGTGGTGAGGATATGACTTGGAGTTGTCTGAGGACGGTGAAGGGGAAGAGAGGATCGGAGGGCGGCCAGATGCAGATGGACTTTTTTCCGCTTCCTGGTTCCTTTTTTTTTTGTTTTGGTAAACAATCAAGGCTCTCCGCCGAGCAACGCTTGGTGGCGACTACCCGCCCCAGACCCCGACAATGGGGAAAAGTGACTCCCTTTATGACAGTTCTGATGACAAGGATGTCAACTTGACAACAAAAAGTGCTTCGTGGTTGACAAGCTGTTGCATACGAAGGGGCTGTAGGGCGGATTTCGACGTTGTGGTGATTGCATATGCAAGTCTGCAGCAGCGCGGTCGGGTGGGCTTGAGCTATTGACTGGCCATCACCTTACATTCTTTTTACTATGGTCTCGATCCCTTGCCAGTCAAGGTACTGTGTATTATCCCATAAATTATCTATAGTATGTCAATCAAATTGGACAACTGTATTGCAGGCGATCACAGCGATAATGCGGGAAGCCTCCACTTCCTCGCCTCCGGCCCCTGCAATGGGTTGGTTAATCGCGACCGCGCTGCTCACTAAACCTTCCCCGCACTCCTCATTCTGCACTCTATGTCTCAAATCAAAGCCATCACGAAAATCAAGATTATATACGTGCTCTAATGTACTGTCTAAAGCAATACTAAACTAATAAGCTAGGACCGAGCCTGATGATAATAAAAATGTGCTGATCAAAAACAAGAATAGACCTCAGGCTTGCCCCAGCACGTCCAGAGTGAATACCAAGCACGGAGACATGCAGCATGAATGATGATGATACAATCAACCGAAAGTTCAACGCAGAAGCATACAGCCAAGTCATCGATTCCCAACTCCAATCCGAAAAAGGTCATGACGCTAGAAAAACAGTAAGAGAGTGTAGAACCAAGACTCAAGCATGGACGTGGTCCACCAATTCGAAGTCATCATCATCAGCCAGATAGCCGATAGCCGTCTCGCTCTCGTGAGAGATTATCTCATACGTCTTGATAATCTTCTCTGTCTCCTTGATCTCAAACTTCTCAACTGCCTTGCTCACCGCGTCCGAGAGTATAGTCTGCCCCGAAACGTCATAGTCGAGCAAGGAGCTATTTTTGTCCTCGAGCTCCTCTTGGATTCGACTGACGGATCCCGGGGCGGCGACATCATCCCCGGAAGAGTCGGACGGACCACTCTCGAGAGCCTCCCGGACATCGGCGCGAAGGGCTATCTTCGCATCGCTGGCCAGGTGGTTGGACTGGCTCTTGCGATCGAACCGCAGGGCACGTGTGAAGCTATTCCACCTCGGTCAGATTTCCAATAGACTAGGCAACCACGGGAGATGGGGCCTTACTTCATGCTATGGGTGATCGGCATCGCTGGGCGCGCAGGAGGAAGCACCGACGAGAGGGGGTCAGGAACAGTACGAGCACGTCGACTACCGTAAGCCCATTTCGCCTTGTGGTCGTGAGCCCGCTTCGCCTCCTTATCCGCCCGACGCATATCAAGCAGGGATTCGGACATGACGGTCAACGGAGTTACACGTTATTTGTCAGGCTGTATGGTATGATGAACGAGCTGTGACTGGGTCTGAGAAGACGCGTAGTACACGCTTCGGAGGAGGAATGAGTGGTGGTTGCCTGGACGAGCTCAAGTGATGGGGTTGCGGAGTGAAGGGATATAAAGCCAGGGAAAACAAGGCTGGCTGGCGTAAGGCGCGAGAAGGAAAGGGTCCTGAGTCTGAGTAATGAACCACGAACCAAAGAAGTCCGATAAACAATGACCGTGGCTACAAGGCGTTCTTGGTCTGAGTCATAAAGAAACCCGGCTGGTTTCCAGTCGTCAGCGATCCGGATATTGGTCAAGGCGGCAAATGGCGCAATCCAAGGGGGACAAACCTCACTGCAAGTGAGATGGAGGCGTAAAGGAAAGTAGAGAAGGAAGTGACAACCTGGTGAGGAGGGGATGGGCTAGTAGTCATTCCCTGAAATGGGGGATGCTCAATAATAGCCTCCTGAAGGGTTACTACTATCGGTACCTTCGTAGTTAGTCCGTTGCAATCAGTCGGATACGAAAATGGTAGCACGGGGTACAGGACAAAGATGGGGAGCTGATGGCCGGATGATAGGTCATCTGTTGGACATGATTCATTCTTTCTCTTTCTATTTATGCTATTTATGAACAAGCACTTGGCAGCCTGCTTGTTGACCATCTTCCAAAAGGGTTTTTACTTTTTCGAGACAAGAACAAGATCGTTATCGGGAATACCATGGGGAATAAAGTGAGCGAGGACGAGTGGCCGGCACCTCTCCTGGATTGTTCGTTATCGCAGTTTGCCGATCCCCCGAGCGCCACAGCCCCAACCATGGTTTATCTTCCCCTCCATGGTTCCTTATCCCGAGGTTAAAAGAACTATTGAGATTTTTGAGACGTTTGCAACCAAAGATGGGTTGTCAATCCGATCCACTAGTTCCAGGCACGTTGGCTGATCTGGACGTTTACTTGCTGAGGCATGGCAGGATGATGATTATCAGTTGTTGTTCTCCACGCAAGGATTGACAGTATAAGTACTGTACAGTATGTACTATACAGTAAGTACTCGTAGTACGTGCTAGTCCAGGCTTTGCGGTGGACGAATAAGGGAGACCACCGTGCTCACGGGGAATGACTGAAACCCAGGTGATGACGCTTATCAGCCACAGTTCTGGTGAACGTGATCCCATCAAGCGTATCAAGCGAGTCATCAGCTGCACGTCTTCCCTGTCGCTGATCGGAACTCCGTTAGCGCGGCGGGTGACTCGATGGCTGATCGTCAAGTCATGGCTGGGGAAGGAGTAAAGAGTAGGAAGTGGGAGGCTTAGGCGTGGAGGTCATGGCGGTCACCGGCACAGGCAGGCATGACATCAGCGAGTATGTCAACTGGCGGGTTTGCAATTCCTCCACTCGCCGCCTACCTACGACGGAGATACTTTCCATCGAACAGAACTGGATGTGATGATACTCATAACTGCGAAGCGCCAGGAATATGCACAGAAACTGTTCCCACATCACGCCGGGGTCCATATTGGGTAATTATCAATGTCATCATTGCCAGTGTCCAGCACTGGATCCGTGTAACAAAAGTCATAGCAGAGTCATAGGTATCTGAACCACACCACACACCATACACACCACTCTCCAGAAAACCAGTTACGCGTCCATCTGCCACTCGTAATCCAGCGCCTCCAGCCTTCCCTTCCGATTCCTGGCCGCAAACCACTCCTTCTCGAACCCATTACTCCGATCCACGCCATCCCACCGATGGCCCGGCCGAATCCCATAGCGATTCGGCTGGAACGCCCCCTTATACAAGGGCTTCCCTGTCACACTGGTGCCGGGCCCGGCGGTCTTGGTCAAGAACTGCGCGGCGGGGTCATTCCAGCGCTGGCGTGCCTTGAGCTCGTCGTTCAGCTCGTCGTCCTCGGCCGTGCGCGCCAGCGGCATCGCCTTGGCCTCCTGTAGCTGCTGCCGCCTCTCCTCCCGCTGCTGCCGCTGCACATCGCCCATGAGAGCCTCGCGCGCCTCTTCCTCCTTGAGCTTCTTCTCCTCCTCCGCCCGGCGCGCCTCCGCCCGCTTCAGCGCCACATTGATGATGCGCCCGGAGGCATCACGGTAGATCGTCTCCTGCACCTGCTCCCCAGCGGCCACCGCACTGCCCTTATACCGCGCGGCCTCCAGCCTCTTCCTCCGCTCCTGCGCCGCCACCATGGCCGCTGTATCCGCCGCCGTCTGCAACCCCGCTCGCGCCCCAGATTCCATCCTCATCCCATCGTAATCGTCTTCCTGATCTTCTTCCACAACCGGCGCCTCATCCTCATCCTCATCATCCCCGCCGCGCCCGGCCTTCCGCTCCGCCGCCGCAGACGCCAATATCGCATCCGCCGCATCCTTCTCCGCATCCGCATCCGTGCCGCCAATTGTCTTCCACCCAGATTTCTTCGCTCGCCGGAACTCCCCGCCGGCGCCCCCGCCGCGGGCGCCCGACACGATCGCCGGGTTATATTCGTCATCATCTAGATCCCGGGCGCCGGAGGCGGCGCGGAGATCCGGTGGGTCGTCATCGGCGATTATGAGGCCGGATTCTTCGGGTTTGTGGGTTGTCGTCTTCTTGCGTTTCTTCTTGGGGCGGTCGGTCGGGGCCGGGTCGGCGGTCAGGTAGTTTTTGGCGAGGTAGTCTGCTAGCGAGGAGGAGGGCATTGTGGTGTGCTTCAATTTGTGGAAAGTAGGTCTCGTGAGATGTGGAGCGATCGTAGAAACAAGTAGTGGAGGTGTATAGACGGTAGAGTAAGGTAGTGTTTGAGAAAACTAAAATGTATAGTGAAGGTAACGAGTAAACTCGGGGAAGCTCCCAGCCCGGTCTAAACTGGAAGCTCGGAGGATCAGTTTTGCCGGTAATCTATTGCGCTTGTGTAAGGGACAATACCAAACTTTCACTCTCCTCCACCCATACAGTACAATGCATCTAGATCTATCAATGCAGCACTCCGTCATAATCAATCCGCGAAACCCCCATGCCTTCACAATAGAACCCGCGCCCAGACAATTCTAACTATACATTACCCGCCCACACGAAGAATAAGAAATGCCCCGCACCGACGAAGCGGAATGGTGGATCAACGCCGTCTACGAAGCGGTCCAAGAGATCCCCCGCGGCCGAGTCACCTCCTACGGCCATATCGCCTGCCTCCTGGGATATCGTATGTTTCATGCATGCAATGCTTGTGCCTGTTTATCCCTTTATATCCTCAACGCCTTGTCTCTACTCCCCCAGGTTTATAGACACCGAACTAACCTCGGGTCTCCAAACAGCCAAACGCCCCCGCCAAGTAGGCGTAAGCCTCAAACATCTGCCCTCCGCGCCCTCGAATCCAGAGACAGACGCAGAGGCAGATGCAGAGGCAGATAGCGAGGTAGAAGCCGACGCAGAAGCCGCCGCAGCCCCATTCTTCCACTCCGGGAACGTCCCGTGGCAGCGCGTGATCAATTCCAAGGGCATGATTTCGCATCGGTATGCCTTTTTCTCTAACCCTGTTGTGCTCCAGACTGTACAACGTCAGTTCGTGAAGCAGCGTTCTTTGTGCTGATGTTGTTTGGTGTGGACAGTGGGCCAGGAAGTGCGGAGCGGCAGGCGGTAGTGCTGCGAGCGGAGGGCGTGGAGGTGGAGGTGGATAGTATGGGGGAGTACTATGTGAATTTTGGGCGGTTCGGGTGGTTTCCTGATGTGTTGCCAAGTGAGGAAGGGTTGGAGTCAGATGAAGGAGATGGGGAGGAGGGGGAGGAGGAGGAGGAGGGACGTGGTGATAGTGATAGGAATGGAAATGAGTTGTTTGTTTGAAGTTATTGCTACTCCTACTGCCTTCGGGATAGACTAGTATTGTAGGTCTGTTTCCTAAAAAAGAAGAATATCCCGTAAGACCATAGCAACCAATTGTAGTAGCAACGAACCCGTCGGTCAAATAGACTTTCATAGTGTGGTAGCAAGATGGACTTCTATGAGGGTAGAATATTTGAAGCAAAGAAAAAAAAAGTGTAAAGAGGGTCTGTAGGGGGACCGGCACAGTAGACGACCATGCAATCAATCATGTTCAGGGCAATAATAAAACTTCCAGTCAAACGGGCCAGTAAGGAACCAAAAAATATAGAATATAAAAGATCCGCCTCTCGAAATCATACCAAAGGAAACTCGTCGCCTGACTCCGTGATGCACACAGATATCACGGGTCCTCTCTCATTCCTAACTCGCTTTTCGTGGGTCTTTTCCTCTTGCCTTTATCTCCGTTTAACCTCGGTCGCCCATCCGTCAATCCCCTCGCCTCGACTCCCAGGGGAAACGCCCAGGTCTACCGCCTCCATGCCGAGCGTGTCCTTCATCCATTCATGGGCAGCCATACCGCCAGCGTTGGCTCGTCTTTCGGGAGAAACTTCGAGCATCGGAAGGAGGAACTCGCTGATGCGCATGCTCTCCTCCACGCTGAAGTGATACTTCTCCCGTAGCACGTCAGGGAGTGCCCAGTGGCGCAAGCGGTGGATGTTGCGCAACTCTCCCTTGCGGTTGAAGATCTCCTGGGACCACTTCCCTGAGAGGCAGAGAGACTTAGGGAACGGGCCCAACAGCTCGATAATCTGTGCGATGTGGTCGTCATCCTTGCCGTACTTCGTGCCTGATTGCGGGTCAAACAAGTAGTCGCCTGTGATTAATTCGAAGACCTGTTTCATGGTCAGAGGACAATCGCAGTAGTCGGGATGTACCTGCAACTTACCATGCATGCCATACTCCAAATGTCCGTACTAGCTCCCCACTTGGATCCTAGAATGACTTCCGGCGAACGGTATTGTCGCGTCTGGATGTCGTTCGTGAAATGATGCCCAACCCAGCACGCATTGCCCAAATCGGCAATCTTCACGGAAATAATATCGCAATCCAGCTCCTCACTCGGGGTGGAAGACTTGTCGAGCGAGATGCCCGATACTTCTCGTTCCAAGAGATCGCTAAACGTCGTTTAGTGTACTGTTTTGGGCCTCCATCTCGTCTGGGGTAGACATACGCAGTCTTTTCTCTTTGTTTCTGTTTCTCATCTTCATCCTTGATGCCTAATAACTCTTTCATGGACGCAGCCCCCGAATTAGCCTCTGTCACTTGCGATTAGCGATTTCTGATGCTCAGAAATCTTCTGTTGAACATACCTGACGAGTCGTTCACCATCTGGCTGAGACTGCTGTGGGAATTTTGTGAACTGTGTTTAAACTCGAAACTCGTGTTGAGGGGACTGGGCAGCGGTTGGCTTCCGGTGATCAAGGTGCGGCGCCGCCGCCGGCCGTTGCGGTTGTCCTCCTTCTGCTCCTTCTTGGCCTCCTCCTTGACGTATGTTTTCACGATCTGCTCCACGTCGCCGATCTCGATCAGCACGTTCTCCGGCTTCAGATCGGTATGAATGATTCCACATTCCCGGTGCAAGTAATCCAGACCCAGCAGCACTTGCTTCGTAATCTGTTTGACAAGCGGCATAGGAATGCCGCGATGATTCCATCGCTTTATCAATCCAAGCAAATTTTCTCCCAGCACTTCAAATACCATGCAGACGTGGACACCGTTGGGACCCTTGTGCTCGAACGAGTCGAGCAGACTGACCACATGTTTGCGACCCGGGTGGGATGGCTTCGCTTGGACGATGCGATTCAGCAGCTTGATCTCGTCGATGGCGGTTTCGGTATAATGAGCGGCGGAGCGAACGACCTTCAGGGCGACGTGCTTGCCGGTCGTCGTGTCGCGGGACAGCCAGACCGTCGAAAAGTGACCCCACCCGAGCTTGCGCACGACCACGTATCGACCATTGTTGTAGGTTTCTCCGACGCTGACCGGGTGGTAACCACCCTTGCAGTAATCTTCCGAGTCTTCCTCCTCAGCGGTGGTCTCCAGTTCTTCGCCGGCGCCGGAGGATGAGGAGGATGAGCGCGATGGCGGGGCGCCGTATGCGGGATTCCTGCCAGACATGGCGGTTAGAGGATTTTAGGAGAGGAAAAAGCGGGCTAGGAAAGTGGGCGGAGCAGAAAAACAAGAAATTAGGCAATCAGATGGGATGGACCCGAAATCATGAACACGATGGAGAATGGGGGGGGGGGAGACGGGCGAAAGAACCATACCCCTCAGTAGTGGTAGTCGCTTGGTCGACAGGCGCACCGGGTTCGTTGGTGACGATCGGCTTTAAGTCGGTCCCTTTTCTTCTCTTCTTACCGCCATTGCCATTAGCAGCGGCCGCAGCGACACTAGCCATCTGCTTTCCCTTATTGATAACGGCTTTGGTGATTTCAACCCCGTCCATAGTGATGTTACAAAAGAATGAGTAACGACGGGGTGGATATCGGGGGGGTTGAAAATGACGGAGGCGAAAGTTTTGGGGAGGAAGGAGGAGGAGAAGGGAGGGGGGCAAAGAGAAAAAGATAGATAGGACGGAGGTTGGGGGGTGGATGGCGGGCGTTGGACTTGGTAGCGCGAAGTGCAGTCAGTCAGTCAGTGTCCATTCAGTACCTGTAGTTGGTGGGTGTGGCCGGCGGCGGCGGGTGGGCGGAGAGGGTACAGTAGTAGTATGGTCGGTAGTAGGTAAGGTAAGAAAGAGGTAGGTAAGTAACTTACTGGGCAGAGAGAGTGTTGGGTTCTGCGAATCTGAGGGGTCGTCTTTTGGTTTGGGTTTGGGTTCAGCAGCGCCCGCAATGGGTTGTAGAAAAATATGAACTGTAAGAAATCGATGGTTCAACAAGGCGCACTTCACAGTCTATGAACCAGATCAGTCACAAGGAATTTCTTCAACTCGGGCGATGGGACAATGCAGAATGCAATGCATGAACATGGAAACCAAGGCCTAATATTTACCCAGGCGAAGAGCAGTAGGAAGATGAGGGATGATGCACCGGAGTTATGACGCAAACGATATAGACGGATCGATGCAACAACCACCAACCACCATCCGAGGTGAGCCTCGTTTCCACAACTCTAGACCTTCTCGGGGAATAACGCGCTCTAAGCAAGGGGGTGACTGAAGAAGCGAACAATAGACAGGGAAAACGAAGTGTCGATGGCAGAGATCAACCAGGAATGTCCGCAAGCGTAGATGCGGGAGGGAGTAGGAAGTCGTGAGGGCGAAACAGAGAGGGCGAGAGAGCACGCACGCGAAGAAACACAGTGTTGAAGGTTGACAACCACCATTAACACTCAGGTGGCAAATCCATAGATTTTCTCAGTTGGGCCTGAATGGGCAAGAAATCAGTCCACCGTAAAGAAGAGATCATATCATAATCAGATCCCCGGAGAAATGCGAACCTGCTTGCTTGTCCGTACTGTACAGTAAGTATATGGTATTCTAGAACATGCGCTGTGGGCGTGGCAGTCGTCGTATCTATAGATGGCGTTGCGGGAGAAGAGGGGCACAGGCATAACTACTATGTACTATGGAACTTAAGTCTGTTTATACCCATAAGATCAAACCAGGAGGAGTCAAACAGAGTACGATAGTCGACTTCATTACTAGGGATATGGGGAGATATTGATTGGTCTTGCTCGTGTTGCATGCAGGGAAAAGCTTCTAGCTTTGAATCCGGGGTTCTACAGTAAGAATCTACCACAAACTTGTCCATCCATACCACCATCCTTCCACCCTATAACTTGTTCCATATGTACATACAAACCTACTACATGCGACCAGGCTGTTACACAAGATATAACTTAACCCATCCCCGGCCATATTGGAGGATCTCACCCGTTGGCACCCGATCGATCTAGGCTTGATGTCACTCAAGGCTGGCGGAGTCTATGATTCAACTAACGGATCGGCCCATGCGGGTACATGTCTAAGGTATGATTGTGCTCTGAATCACTCATTCAGCCCCAGACTGTCTAGCATTATGTATGTTCTGTCTCAGCCAGGGGCATGAAACAATACCCGATGAGTGAGGCCGCTGAGAATTCTTATGCATCATGTCATAGAAAGTACCTGCAAGCCTGAAACCTGAGGCATCACAGGTTGCATTTGGGATAACAAGGCAGAGCCAATCATGGCGGGCACGAGGCCAACCAACTTCCCCCACCTCCGCAAAACTCGGCCTGAGGTTACGTAGGCCCAGGAAACACCCTAGGCATCCATTCGGCCCATTGAAGCCTCAGGCCAGTAAAGCACATGGAAAGCGCCCAAGCTTCCAACGACTCCATCCGATTACACAATTACTTGCAGACCTGGCTGAGACAACAACAACAACCATGGACTAATTAACTTACACACCCTGAATGCATCTCGTATCGACTCACCTTACCAACCTACACTACCTCGTCTACCTCTAACCATGTCCTCTCCCTTTCACCCGCGCCCGTTTACCGACTACATCATCTTCTCTCCTCTAGCCGCCTTCATCTACCCCGTGCACCACCTCCTCAATCGACTCCGCGGACCACCACGACTACCACCCCCGAACGCTCGTCCGATCCGCGTCGTCTGCATCTCCGACACCCACACACTGGAATGGGCCGACATCCCCGATGGCGACCTCCTCATCCACGCCGGGGACCTGAGCAACGACGGCTCCGTGCGCGAGATCCAACAAGCCGTGAACTGGCTGCGCCGTCTGCCGCATGCCCATAAAGTCGTCATCTGCGGCAATCACGACAGTTACTTCGACGTGCGCTCGCGCCGCCCAGAAGACCGCGACGATGCCGCCTCATCACTAACCTCCGCCTCATCCTACGCGACCATCTCCTCCTCGACCGCATCGCTCCGCTCCCTCCCCTCTGACGACCTCGACCGCATCGACTGGGGCGACATCCACTACCTCCAACACTCCTCAATCACCCTCACCTTCCCGGCAACCTCTCCCTCCCCTTCCGTATCATCATTATCCGCGTCCCAAACCACCCCGCTCCTCCACCACCACCAAAATAACAACCGCCCACGCACGCTAACCCTCTACGGCGCACCGCAAATCCCGGCCATCGCGCCCCTCGGCCCCGAACACGCCTTCACCTACCCGCCGCAGCATGACGCCTGGGCCGGCACCGTGCCGACCTCCACCGACATCCTGATCACGCACACCCCGCCGGCGGCGCATTTGGACCTGTCCCCGATCTTCTCGACGGGGTGCCCCGCGCTGCTGGCCGAGGCGTGGCGCGTGCGCCCCGCCCTGCACGTCTTCGGCCACATCCACGCCGCCTACGGCCTGGAGCGCTGCTACTACGACGAGGCCCAGCGCGCGTGGGAGCGCCTCTGCGCCGCCCGCCGCCCGCGCGCCCGGCTGTCGCGCTTTCAGGCAATCGTCACGGGCGGGATCCGGGATCTATTTGATATTGCTGGGTGGGTGGACGCCGCGCGCGTTGTCGTCTACGGCGTTCTCGGGATCATCTGGGCCAAGGTCTGGGGCGGCGAGAACGCCGGCTGCGGGTGGATGGTCAATGCGGCTGCGATGTATCGCGATGAGGGGGTACTGAGGAATAAGCCGCAGGTTGTGGTTCTGTGAGTTTGGGATCTTGTGGGTGATGGTTGGGTTGGCGGTGTATTTGTGCGTGGTACTTTGTAAAGATTCTAGGTGAGATGGAAGATGGACCAACTGGAGGGGGAAGGCGGGGAGGTTAATTTGGGAATGTATATAATATTGTTTGCATGTGGCAGGCAGGCCAGGCGGGAGCGGATAGGTGTACAGGAGCAGTGAGTGGTCATGGTGATCATGGTGATCATGGTGGTCATGGTCATGGACAGGATGGGTGCTAGCGTATCTGCTACTTGCCAGTCATTTTTTCAACAAAAGCGCTGCATCGGGTGCATTAGGCGTTAATATCACTATTTACCGACGAACTACTCCGCTGGGGAGATCCGTGGCTATACTATTGCTACAGGACATACAGAACAAGATCCAGTGATGTCATCATATAGTGTATATATGCATAGGCAGGAAGGCCATCTCGCCGTATGTTTTATAATCCGATCGGATAAAAGTCTAACAACAGGGTATAAAGGAACATGTATATCAAAAAGAGACAGGCAGACCGTCGCGAAAACCAAGATGAGGAAGTAGAGCGCGCCAGGGGAGAAGAAAGCCTACAACTTGGCCTTCTCGCTGAATCGCGGCGCGACGAGAGGATCATACGCCCCAGCGGAAAGGGTATCGGACGGCACGACGGCATTGTGGCCGCCGACCAGACCGCGGACGTCCAGCAAGCTGGGGTTCAGGTCCTCGATCTTGTTGGCGCCGATCAGGCGCATGTTCATCTCCATTTCGTCCTTGAGCAGCTGCATGGCGCGCTCGACGCCGGGCTGGCCGTAGGCGGACATGGCGAAGAGGAAGGGGCGGCCGATGCCGACGCCCTTGGCGCCGAGGCAGAGGGCCTTGAGCATGTCGGTGGCGCGGCGGATGCCGCCGTCAACGTAGACCTCGATCCGATCCTGCCAACCGCGCTGGCGCAGGGCGGGCATGACCTCGGCGAGGAGCTCGACGGCGGAGGGGGCGAACTCGAGCTGGCGGCCGCCGTGGTTGGAGAGGACGACGCCCTGGACGCCGGCCTCGACAGCGCGGAGCACATCCTCGACGCACTGCACGCCCTTGAGCACGATGGGCATGCGCGTGATGGACTGGAACCAGGGGATGTCCTTCCACGAGAGCGCAGGGTCGATGAACGAGGAGATGGCGCGCGCCGCGCCCTGCGACCGGTCCACGCTGTCGCCGCCCGACGCCTGCACGCTCGACCCCACGTCCGAGAACTTGGACCGCATGTCCTTCTCGCGCCGGCCCAGCTGCGGCGCGTCCACCGTGATGAACAGCCCCTTGCACCCACGCGCCTCCGCGTGCTGGACGATCCGCTTCGTGATCGCCCGGTCTTTGTTCACGTACAGCTGCAGCCACTGCACCTGCTCGCCCTGCCGCGCGTCCACGATCTCGTCGAACGAGCACGACGCCAGCGTCGGGATCATCTGGATCACGTCGTGCGTGTGCGCCGACCGCGTGAAGATCACCTCCCCCTCCGGGTGGCCCAGCTTGCCCAGCGCCGTCGCCGTCACGTAGAACGGCGCCGACACCTTGGCGCCCAGCATCGTCGTCGAGAAGTCGACGTGCTCCACATCCACCAGGATCCGAGGGCGGAACCAGATCTTGTGGAACGCGGAGTGGTTCTCGCGCATAGTCTGAAGGCCCGGGGCAGATTAGCGATGCTTCTCAGCAATTTTCGGGCCCGTGTTTAGGGCAGGGAGGCTTACAATTTCATCGTCCGCACCACTGGAGTAGTAGGCCCAGGCCGTCTTCTTCATCACGTTGCGAGCGACCGCCTCAAAGTCCATCAGGTTATAGCACGCCGCCAACGGGGGCATGCGCTTGATGCGTTCCTGGCGTTCCTCCTCCTCCGGATCGGCGACCTTCTCTTCTTGCTCGACTGTCGACATGTCGACCTCGCCCAGGTGCTTGGACTGGTCGAGGAACTTGTCCAGAGTGTCGGGAGGGTGAATGGGGTCGAACTCCTCGGTCGCATCCTTGCCGGCATACTTCAAAATGATCTTCTGGCCACCGGGGTGTTCTGCGGTGGTGTTAGTGGCGACGGAAGTTGGTGAAAACACTCAAGATAGGAAAACTGACCAGGCAGAAATTCGGTCACATCGTAGGCCTTTCCGTGAACAATGACCCAGCACGAGTCTTTGGAGTTGTGCTGGGCGACATCCGCGCCGGTGAGTTTCGTCATTGCGGCGATGGGTATGTGGTGTGAGGGGAAGGGAGAGAGGTAAAGGGGTGACTCGGAATGGAGGATTGAGGATGGGGAAGTGGTAGGAAGAAAGAATAAGTTTAAAAAGACGAATTAAGTTACGGGTTAAGAGGTGAAGGAGGCCAAGGGAATGATTCGCCCGAGAAGCACGGGGTTATGGAAGAACGTCACGGCGGACAGACAGACTTGGGTTCAATGTCAATGTGGAGGAGACGGACTGGGGAAATGATCCTCGGGATAATGTCCAGCGAGCCTATTGAACGCTGACACTGGCCGGTGGGAAATCGACGAGCGGTCGTTGGTCAAATCCACCACCACAAGACCCGGGGTTTTCCAGCGCAATTCGGGCGACGGGCTCTTCTCGGCCGACTTATCGATTCCTCATTCATCCTCGGCTTTCCTCCTTCGAGATCGCCTGCTTGACGTCTCCATAGGCACAACTCAACTTTATCTCAAGTATCCTTATTGTGTGACTGGCTAATGATTTTGAATGCACAGTACGTTTATAGTGAAACTAGATAACTCGACTCTTGGGCTACTACTTTGTATGTAAGATACCTAGGGTGTTCAATGAATGGGTTGTTCCAGGGTCCGGTCGATCCTCCGTGGCCGGAAACGGCAATATCAGATGTGATCCACAACAGGCCAGATCATCTAGGAAAAGTTAACCCTATCTTCGTTCCATCCAAGGCTGGATGTAGGGAAATCCCATATACGGGGAGTGGCTGGTGCAATGAGACGCCCACAAATTCTATGCTAAATAAAGTGTTGATTGCTCAATCAATACCATTGGTACGTCTTTCCGTCTCTGAAAGATCACCCTGATTGCTTTCTCACAACGAGGATCTCGCCACGGCAGCCAAATATCTTCATTATGCTTAAATTCTCTTACCATTATCTCGATATCCTCTAGGCCCACCATGGGACTATCAAGAGGAATCATACGCAAGCTACCCTAGCTGACCGCAACGGTTTTCACAATGAGGTTTGATGAACCTGGAGATATATATCTCTGGCAGCTGGATAGCGCCACAACAGCGATCTGCAAAAGCATTTATTTAGCATCATTGAACTTCATTCCAGAGTACATCTAGTCACTCCTAACTTAAAAACACATTTCTCACTTCACTGTGGATCACCTCAAACAAAGAGCTCACGTCGGCACGCACATCCTATGCCACGTCCTCCGTGCCCGCCCCAAGCCCGCTCCCTCCATAATCCTTTATCTTACCAGAACCACAAACAGCACCCTCGAACGAAGCACTATCTGTCGGCGTCTTGAGTACGAAGTAAGAATCTTTCTGTATGACAGTCCGGCTACGGCCTCGATGGTGTCTGCTCGAACGACCCGAACGTCCTCACCTACCTTGAACCAACTCTCCCACCTCCTACTCGGGCCACACTCCCTGAGTCGCTGTGACTTCTCGTCTGTCACTCCCGCTACAAAAACCTGTTATCCAACTTCGAAGAGTTTTGGCAGATAAGCAACAGCTCCGGTGCGTGGCGGAGATTTCTCCGCATTGACGGCTGGCTGAGCAATGAGAGTATCACAACGTAGGGACATGCCCTGAGCCACGTTCAGTTTGCCGATAAATGGTATGATGCGATTTTGAATATGAGTGCTGAGCTGCACTACATTACCACAACCGGCCGTCTTCCAGGCTTGGTTGCAAGCAGTGGCGAGCAGGCCTCAAAACATCAAACTCATTTCCTTGAAGCCTTTATTGCGCTCGGCGCGGAACATGAAGTAGACAGACGTAGTCCTAGGGGTATTCTTTGCTAATCTTCATTCGGGGTTCAGTCAAGCCTATATCGTGCTGCATTGCGCCAGGTCGATGCCACGCGCGGACTCGGAATGGGCCCAGGAACGCATGTATACGGACGATGTTTTGGCAGGGGAAAGAACAGTCCAATGGACGCAGTTTTAGGAGTGTCTGTCTGCGTTAGAGCAATGACCTAAGGGGAGAACGAAAATCGCTGGTGGAAGGGGGATCTAGCGGGAAATGTGGATCGTTGCAGTGCGGCGCAATTGGAGTTCAATACTCAGGGGTAGCCGGCCCGATACTTTGAGAATTGGGCCGGGTCATGCAGCGGATGAGATGCCTTGAGTTTTGCGAAGAGGATTTGGTTTGGTCGTGCGGGACTAGGTGGTAGGCAGTATGTAAAAAGAGTGGTCGGACAGCTGCATCCTGAACCTTGAACACCGCTGCAAAGGTGTCGAGCAAGTTATTCCCACTCTGTAGATGATGTCTCCTTTCACAGCGTCTGAAATCCATTTGTAAGAAGCGTACAACACAATGCGGGCGCGGATTTGTGACATCGATGGCTGTGCTTGAATCCTGAAAGAGAACCTGAGAGTAAAGAATACTCAGTCTCCGCCCTTCACAACTTATTGCATGGCCTGGCCCTTTGCAATGGCCTTACGGAAGTGTTTTTCCAATGCCTCCATTGAGGGAATATTCACACCAGGAGATTGATCAAGGCAGAACTGCCCGACAAGTCACTTTTGTGTAGCCCTTGAGATTATTGCGAGGCCACACCACGGGATGCCCGCGGGCATCGAGGAAAAACAGGGGGGTCAGTCATAGCTGAGATCCTTTTGCGATGTGATCGAGATAGACACTTATGATTTCATAGCGAAGCCCAAGAATAAAGCCGTGCATGGTAGGAACGCCTATGAACTGTGGCCTTCCTTCTAGAGCGAAATTGTGCCAGCGCAAGTCAGCTCTTACATCGGCACTGAGTGGCATAAATGGATGGAGTAGAGTGCAAGATGAGCCTGCTAGCCGCTCAGACCTGGCTAAGCTTTCCAGGTGTCTGCAGCACTGAGAAAGTCGATGCTTGGCATCAGAAGTCTATCTGAGCGAGCATACTAGATATGTAGCAAATGGCAGCACGGCGTTTCCGTCGCTCATCCACGTAAGGTTTTATCACCAGCTGGGAGTCATAGTGGCTTGCCTCCGAGCAAGGCGCACAACTCTATCGGATTGTCTTTGGTTCGGATATTGGCAGGATGTTGTGAGAATCTGTCGCTTGCTGGAAACTTCATCGCTCACGGGAATCGACCGGAGTATGACAACCGCAGCGGGAAAGACATTATCCTAAGCTTTTTCTCGGATTCCGGAGTCTGGAGATGTGGAGAGCTAACTTACGAGTACATGGGGCCCCCGGGCAGATTTTTCTTTTCCCTTTGGAGAATGAGGGGGGAGGAGATGGACCCCTCATGTGCCCCAGAAGCACTCTTGCCGGCCGCCCCCGGAAATGACGACTCTCGCCCGGCAAGCAACCAAGTCTGAACACAGGTGGGGCTCACCATACAGCGACATGACTGGAGGTACGTATACCCAAAGAATTGCCTGACGGGGTTGATTGTCATGTTGGGCCCGAATGATGAGATGAGGGTCGTCATGTCCTCGTGTGGTCGTGAAAATGTTGTTGGCTAGAGATGGCCTCGGCAAAGGCTACCAGGATACGATTGCGCGCCAGGATTGAGCTAAAACGCCGAAGCGAGTTCATGCTGATATGCATAGGACGCCCAGAAAGCCGGAGATAGTTGCAGATTCCCATGGGTATTCTGGATTGGCAGGTTATCCGACACGCGATGATGTTTTGTCTTTTGTGGGATATGTACAGTACTCCACGTTGTTGGCCACATGTGTTGGTTGACTTCATCGGCTGAGATGTCTGCCTCAGGCTTTGCCCCGAACATGCTTGTTCCCCGCTTTTAACCGTACCAGACACATGAAAGATAGATCAGGCGTAGGATGTCCATGAAGTCATGGGATGTTCCATTAGAAGAGTGCCGTCTGGGTGGTGGACAGGCTTTCATGCTGTTGTCGCAACATATGCGTTCAAACATCTCGCCATTGAACGAGGACCCGAAAATATACCCTATGATTTTCGGTAGTATGGGAAGTATGTGCACTTGTCATGATTATATGATGGAATACCAAGGGTAGGAAAAGTATCCATCACACGCAGATTGATGATGCATACGAGTAGCTAGGGCATGCATAATCAGTGACCAGGTTTTCTGAAGTGACAAGTGCGACACCCATCGCTGTCAACACGTGATCGCCAGCAGAGAAATCGGCGGCTTGTCTTCCTGACCACTGGTCAGTGCATGTTCCCATCGGTCTCGCTGAGATCTCTAGGCCCAGTGAGACGCGGATGAAAGCACAATAACTCCGAAGTAGGGGTGTCCCGATGAGACATCAAAGGCCATTGATTCCAACCTCTCGCTTCGTTCCGGTGTTACATCAGTCACATCAGGACAAATCTAGTAATTGAGCGACTTCCGGAAAAAGTCTATGTTATCGACTATTGAGGTGCTTCAGCCCGGCATGGCACGCAGGACTGGGAAGCACATAAAGTCCAGTGCAGCGATCGCCGAGTCTATTTGCTGCTAGTGGTGACACAAGATTCTAGAGATCGCGGAAATCGACATTCCGGGTGATATCTTCACAACATATTCGGCAATTCCGAACCGATCTGCCGGGACAGACAGCACTTGCTTGGAGAGGGGGCAAGGGGGCGTCGCAGCAAATAACGGCATACCCAAGGGGGCAAATGGACAGAGCCCTCGTTGCCATCGATAAGCAAGGGCAACGGCTTGTAGCGCCACCGGCATACGGGATAGGGTGTCACGCATGGGATACATGTAGATGTGATGAACAAATGTAGTGCTGCCATGCAGTCAAATCTGGACGTAGATTATACAGGAATGTGCCCAAGAATGGGCGAAGTTGAATAAACATCCTCAAGCAACGAAGAAACAATGCCGAGTCAAAACACTTGTCGAAGCTCTTGCTTACATAACCCGCCGATCTGATCTTTCTTTGTTTACAGCTGTCAGGTACGCACGGATCATGCAGCAAGGAACAGGCCTCGATGCGACAACTCTGCTCCGTAGGCTGCTATACTTTTATGGCTCCCTGATTGCAACTGTTGACCTGCAAAGCTACAACAGACACCATTACCCAATTGATAAACGCCTCAGTGTAATCAGATCTGAGTATCAATTGTTCAAAGAGAAGCTGATGCTTGAAAGTGTCGCACTTAGTTGGGTTGGCATTTGTGGCATGGATGTTCTAGAATTGGGGAATCTGCATGTGAAGCACCCCCCGAACCTGCCTTCAGAGCTGCCCGGATCCTATTCTGTTCACGTCACACAAGCGAAAGTGCTTTGAGGTTCACTGATTGGCCCAATTCTGTTGGACTCCATCCTACCATCTTCTTCTGTTACCTGTCCTCGTGACTTGAAGCTCTGAGAGCCCCGGCATCCAGACCGAGATGGCCTTTTTGGCACTCGGCACGCCGGTGCCGGGTCCGCTGGTCGGTATAAGAGGCATCGGGCTCCCGGTCTCTGCCCCTGGACATGCGAGCTCGTGCGCAGAGCAAGGATATATAAAGCTATGCTGTCTGCTGAGTCTTCTGTGCGTCGAAAGCGCGAGCTCAGTCATGACCTCGCGCACGAGGTTCTCGTCAGATGCAGCATGGTCCGCGAGTCACCTCATTCTTCGGCTCAAGCCAAGTGTCAACTCACGGCTATCCATTCTTAGACAACCAACCACCAACCAACTAATTACTCATTTCGCCAGGATGCAGCTCGACTAGCCAAGGATCGAATTTTTACCCTCCATTATTGTTCGATCGAAGTGTGTGTTTCGCTTGGGACGACCGGCAAATCTTTCAAGGTTGACTTTCTGTTACTCAATATCGGCTCTGTCCAGTCCACTGGTGTCCGCCAATGATGGGTTGATCATGCAACGGTGACCTCTTACGTGATACGGTGTATGCGGAATGAAAATTTCCGCACTGTCGGGCGGGGTCAATCTCCTGAAGCGTCGACATTCTCAACACTTGAGTTCCCGTTCCGTTGTTCCATCCCGAATCTTTGTCGCAGCCAAGCCCGACCGTGTGCAGTCGGTTTCAACCCTCGGGCCGTCTCTGTCGAGATCTCAACCAGTCAGTCCACTTCAAAGTTCGACCTGAGTCTCGGGAACAAGTCGGACGAAGGCCGATGGCCTCACCGCAACACCCCGTTGTATGATTCTTTCTTCACACGTAGAGGATGATGCACCCACTCGGGTTCGTGTTAGCCCAGAAAAGCTATCGTGCTTTTCGTCCACCGAGCAGGACATGGATACTGATGCCTGAGACGGCGCGGACTTTTTCACCCGACATCTGATACCTGCCTAATGCGGTGATCATTACTTGAACCGCACCATCCTGATGCTAGCGAACGAAGCATGGGGCCAATTCAGTTCTATGCTTTGGCAAGCTAGTGCAGGCGACAATTATTTTCACCTGGTTCTCACGATCAGAAAAGAAATCACTCGATTATCGTCGATGTCGTCACCACCTCGGCTGTCGCTCGTCTTTTTCGCTATGGCCGTTTCTTTTACCCGGACCGCTCTACGTCAAACTGCTTCATTGGTAGCTACACTACTGCTCTTCGAATCAATTTAGAGCCTGGTTAGACATCTATCCGAGCGGACTTCGACACATTCGTTTATGTCGATCTTTCCTACATGAGTCTGCCCGTCAAACGTCGGAAGACTGGCGCGGAACATGCTGCTTCGAAAGTCTCCCTCCTGGAAGGATATGGATTTCCCCGACGAGAGTCAATGGGGCCATAGGCAGGATTCCAACTTGAGGGGCAGAAATCAGATTGTCTTGCTCAGCAAAACCAAGCTGTTCTATTGGCGCAGAATCAGGAACTGACTGACTGACAATTTCATTGACCAATGGATCGCATTCGCTGGGTACAAGAAGACGAAGCATTCAAATGACGATTGGCGGCAGGTGCGCGTCGTTTTAGTCCCCGACTTCCCCCCACTTGATCTGCCCAAAAAGGTTGGATCTTCCCCACATGTTTTTCCCCCACTCCGTCTCTTGCCGAGACGAGGGCTTGGGAGTTTGGTCGACATCTCGTACACCAAGGCCAAACAAGCATAGTGTTTCCTTCTTCTTTTTTGCTTGGCCTCCCTTTAATGGCCAAAGCGGCCACAAAAACGCCATTGACGTAATGGCGAATGACAAGTAGATCGAGCTCATCATGATCACCACCACCTTTGCGGCACGAGACAAGCATGTCATCCTTCGACCATTAGGGCATATGCTAAGCTCTGCTAAGCAAACCGGCACGTATGCGTTCCGAACGAAAAGTGCTGATTCATTGCTTGTCAGCGCCGAGGGGTGGATTCAAGAGAATCACCCGAAATTGCTTAGTGTCAGAACTCAGTGGGGGCTTCGAGGTACAGCAGCCAGGCAGATCGCAGCAGACACACGTCGATTTTAACGCATGCTTGGCAGTCTCATGACTACAGAATGTCTGACTGGGTCGTGAATAACTTTTCCCGCCGACTTTCGGGGGTACCTGGACGGGCCAACGGGCTTCCCGATCTTGAGTCCCTTTCCAGCTCCGAGTGGAACTACGGGCATAGAGAACATTGGACACCCTTCATAGACCAAATGGCCGGTAAGGTATCGAAAGTCGAGAATCCAAATCCTAGTAGGTGTACCTCCGAGAATCACGGATTCAGAAGACTCAATAAGGCGCGAAGAGCTGCGTGACTTGCGACGACGTAGAAGGACGCGGAGGGATATTAAACCCATATTATGGGAGGGGAAATGGAGCCTGGAGATGGAGAGGGGAAGACCAAGTGGGGGACAACCAGACTTTGGTGAGCGGTGGGACCGAATCAGCAGCGAGGGCCTCCCACCAAAGCAATTGTGTTAACCCTACATCTGTCTAAACCTCTCTTCCCGCCGAACATTCAATATCCTCGAAAATATGGATAACAGGAATTCATTATAAGCTAAGTGAAAATTGCCATTGGCGCAAGGTCGTCTTACCTTGCAGTCTGAACGCTAGGCGCAGTCGGGAAACCTTATGGAACCGCCTACGGAAACGGCTTCCCGAAGGAGGGCCGACTGACTGCTGCACGCATTCTTTTTTGACCGTCATTGCCTCAAGTGACCTGGGGTTGCATGGGCAGGGAGATCTTATTCTGTGATGCAGTTGCAATAGACGGGTGTTGAACCCTGATCATGGTGGATGTTAGGCAGTGGGAATCGAATCTCGGAGGCTCAAATACTGCAACAACAATGGCGCCCGCATTCAGATTTCCCCGGGAGCGGGCACTGACTCCAGGCAGGCGAGATAACGTGTAGAATTGTAAGATTGTACGATTATTCAGCCGGCACGAGGATTCTCCATGAAACCCCCCTCGCTTGAGTTGCTTAATTGAGTGAACATGCCAATTCACCAGGCAACTCAGCCCTGCACAGTTGATTCCACGTTGGGAATCGGCGGTTCCGGTCTGGCAGGCAGCTGGGCTGTACCCATCCTCAGATCTTCTATGCCGTACCTTTCTACCGACGGTATCCTCATTAAATCAATGCACAGCGAGCTGAGAAAGCATTTTCCGGACACAAAGCCACGTACTTGTGACTGCTAGACATGTCACAGGCTTGTAGCCTTACTTCCATTATGGTTCCGACGCTGGGTCTTAAACCCGTGTGTCGGAAATGGACAATAACAAGTGACACCTGCTATGTTAACTGTTAACTCTCTCACCCCCAAAAGGGCCAACTGCAGGGCCCATCCCGAATCTCAGGTAGCCTCGGGTGGAAAGAATAACAATCCTTGGTACGATTCTTTGCCTCCCTCCCGGTCCCCCTTTTTTGCAGCTACAATATTTCCCTCCAATTGTCTCTTTTCTGTGTTTTTTTTCTGCTTTTTTTCTTTTCTTTTTTGATTTAGTTGATAAAATAAACCGAACTAAAAAATCAATTATCTGGGAAATATTTTAGTGGTTCCCAGGCAAATACCGTGATGTCATTGCTCATTGCCCACCCACAGTGGGCCTCTGGATCCACCCCCAAAAGATGCTTAACCCAGCGTTATTGATGCATTCGGTCCCCTGCTGCTCCACAAAACAAACAATAATGAGGAGTGCAGTTATGTTTTCAATGTCCGTCGCCGACTAGTGGAGTATTCACGCAGCAGCAGCTTGGGGGATAAGAGATTGTCAGCCAGCATGCTTGAGACCATGAGCACCATGGGGATAAGTAGATAATCCCCCCCTTCCCTCCCCGACTTCTCCGCGTTCGATTTTTTGTCTTGTTCTCACTCATCTCTATTGAATCCCTCCTTCTCCTCCTTTCCTAGCCCAGGGTGCAACCGAGCATAGGAGACTCGACTGAAACAGGAGTTCATCGGAGAAGAGAGCGACTCAACTTAAGTGTTCGATCGCTCTAGATATCCCAACTACCTTGACCGGGATTCCTCAACCTCTCCATCTATCTTCTTGAGTGTTTGTCGTTGTCTTGTGCAGATCCTTTCACCATGGCGCCGACGTACGCAGGGATGTCGGGCAAGAAATTGTCCGTGTCCATCTCGACCATTGCTACGATGGGCTTCCTTCTGTTCGGTTACGATCGTATGTCTTGATCCTTCACTGGGTCCCTCTGGGGAGCCTCCATGAAGAGTCTTGAGCTAATCTTAATCTACTATAGAGGGTGTCATGTCCGGTATTATCAGTGACACGGCTTTCCAAGACCTTTTCACTGCCACCAAGGGCAATGCCACGATGCAGGCCCTGGTGACCTCGGTGTATGAGTTGGGTTCGTATACTTCCCAGTCTATATCCGGCCAGAGTCCTTGATCATTCCTAACGACCACACGATGCAGGTTGCTTGTTTGGCGCTTTGTTCGCTCTGTTCTTTGGTGATAGACTTGGTCGTCGATTGATCATCATGTTCGGCGCCACCATCATGATTGTCGGTGTCATTATCCAGGTTACGTCGTTTGCCGGCCACATCCCCCTGTTGCAATTCTTCATCGGTCGTGTCATCACCGGTATCGGGAACGGAATGAACACCTCCACCATCCCTACCTACCAGGCTGAATGTTCGAAGACAAGCAACCGTGGTCTTCTGATCTGTATCGAGGGTGGTATCATCGCCATCGGTACTGCGATTGCCTACTGGATTGATTACGGTGCCCACTTCGGTAACAAGGATCTCGTGTGGCGTTTCCCCATCGCCTTCCAGATCTTCTTTGGTTTGATTATCGTCATCGGAATGTACTACCTTCCTGATTCCCCGCGCTACCTGATTGCCAAGGATCGCGTCCAGGAGGGAGAGTACGTGCTGGCGGCTCTGGGTGGCTTTGAAATTGACGATCACGAGACACAGCTCCAGAAGCAGCTGGTCATTGACTCCATCAGAGCGTAAGTCTAGTCATCTTGCAGTCATCGCAAGTTTCAAGTACCTGGTTGTGTGGAAAGCTAATACCGATGACATTAGTTCGAGTGCTGCTGGACAGGGTGTGACATACCGTGACCTACTCACCGGCGGCCGTTCCCAACATCTCCGTCGCATGTTGATCGGCTCTTCGTCTCAGATCTTTCAGCAGCTCGGAGGCTGCAACGCGGTCATCTACTACTTGCCGCTGCTCCTTGAAGAAAACCTTAAGGAGGGTACTAACTTTGCCCTTTTGATCTCCGGTGTTAATATGATTGTCTATGCCATCTTTGCTACCTTTTCCTGGTTCTTTATTGAGAAGATCGGTCGCCGCAAACTCTTCCTGGGTGGTTCCATCGTTCAGTGTGTTGCGATGATTATTACCTTTGGTTGCCTTATTCCCGGTACTAAGTCGACCGCCAAGGGATCGATTTTCGGTATTTTCCTCTACATGGCTGCTTTCGGTGCTACTTGGCTTCCCCTGCCCTGGCTGTACCCGGCCGAGTTGTCACCTATCAAGACTCGTGCCAAGGCCAACGCTGTATCGACTTGCAGCAACTGGCTGTTCAACTTTTTCGTTGTTATGATTACGCCGGTTATGGTTTCCAGCATCGGCTGGGGTACCTACTGCTTCTTCGCTGCCATGAACGCCCTGTTCATTCCCTTCATTTGGTTCTTTTACCCCGAGACAGCCAACCGAAGCTTGGAGGAAATCGACATCATCTTCGCCAAGGGCTTCACCGAAAACATCAGCTACGTCAAGGCCGCCAAGGATCTTCCCAAGCTTTCAGACGACGAAGTCGAGCAGAAGGCCATGGAGTACGGCTTTGGTGGCGCCAACGATGAAGAGAAGACGGGCGCAGCTGATCTATCCGGATCGAACAGCGGCAAGGACTTTGAGTAAAAAACTCGCGTGTCACTTTCAAGACGCTTGAGCCAATGCTTTTACGTGCTGTATGCTTTGGACCTGTCGTTGCTACCAGCCCTGGCTGTTTGCGCTCGAGTGACACTCTGGAAGGCGGCTAGATGCTGCTTCGATGCTTGGTCCTTTTTTTTTTTTTTTTCTTTACTTGTGATGTTGTTATCATGTCTCCCAAAATTTATGTCATTTTGGTATGACAGGACTGTGCTGGTCTACGGCCGGAGTTGCATGATTTTGGCACTGGCATTGTTTTGGCTGCGCAGTCCTGACTCGGCGCAGCCGCTGGACATATAGATTCCCCCAGATTACCGTTGTGATCTTTTTGTGTTTTCCTACGCGATTACCCCCTGAGCTGCTTGACCTGTGTTGAACTAGTCGAGGCTCATATGTTTGTCTTGTCTTGCCTTATGGCGAGGGTTTCTGTACATTTCTGAAAATCGGCCATTTTAGAAACGAATGGCCGATCACCACCCATGAAAGGCGTGGATAGAACATGGAATGATTTCAAAAGCACAATTTTTTTTCTTGGATATGACTACTGCCTATTCGTAAATGTTGAATTGGCCTGTCGCGAGTAGATTAAAGTATCGACAAAGTCCCGAGTGTCTGGATGGAAGGTGAGTGGTAGCAATTCGCGGGACCTGCATGCAGGTGGTCCGAGTTTCGCTCGGTCGCTTATCGCTTGGGGAATTCGGAAGGGAAAGGGAAAAAAGGCTAGAAGCTCAACCCTCGTTCTTTCCGGGCTCTCGCCCCTTCTAGCGGTCTGTGCCCTGCAATAACCCTGGACTGAGGCTGAAAATCTGCAATTGCAATATGGCATGAACTCTCACATTGTCCATCGTTTACTGTACAGTCATCGGCAGTGGCTCCGGAAAAGACCGATCGAAGGAATGTTTCGAGGCGAATTCCGTGGCTAGAAGTTCTGCAGCCAAGCCCAGCTGATCCCTGTAAGGGGGCGAGGGAGAGGGGGGGGGAACTGCCCAGATTGCACAGTTGTATTTGGCCGTGAACATTATTGACTGCAGTCGGTGTTCAAAGCCATTTGCACACATGCACACAATTAAGTGACTTGAGTTATTCGTGTTCCGATTCCTGTTCACAGTCCAGTTGACTGCGACAAAAGGGGGGAAGACGAAGACCAGACCAGACCGGACCGAGGAGCACGGCAGACAGACGTCAGTGATCGGCTGATCTGCTTTAGTTCGTGATGGCTCCGATTTGATCTTGGGTGGAGGGTCAAAGAGTGGAGGAAGGAGAAGGAGGGGGGCTGAAGTGAATCAATGAAATGAAGAAGTGAATGAACGAATGAATGGCTGGTGGGTTGGTTGTTTGAGCCTCGTTCCCGCTTTCTTGGAAATGACTGCTTGCTGCTGCTCATCTTCCTTGAATCCTGCTTGCTTGCCTGCTTGCCTGCTTGCTTGACCCTGACTGACTGACTGACTGATCCTTTCACACTCCACGCCTCTCGCTTGTTTTCCTCTTACACTCTCTTTCATTCTCTCTCCTGCCTTTCTTTCTTTCTTTCCCTTTGCTTCTTGTACAAACTTATCTCCTTTGTGCGTGCGCGCTCTTTCATTTAACCCTTCTTCCTGCTGGAACATGCAAATCCAGCTTTCCCTCGGCCCCGCCTCTTTTTCTACCCCGCCATGAGCTCATCTCTTGAGGCCAAGATTGTGGTCCTCGGCGCCCAGGGTCAGTTGTCTCTCCACCACAAAACGACAGACACAAATACGACTTGTATCGCAGCTAACACACACAAACATCTCGCAGGCGTGGGCAAAACCTCCCTCGTCCAACGCTATGTCAAGAACGCCTTTGATCCCGCTGGCACCGCCTCCACCGTCGGCGCCTCCTTCGTCACGAAACGCGTCCTCGACAGCGCATCCGATACGATTGTTCGCCTCCAAATCTGGGACACTGCTGGCCAGGAACGGTTCCGGAGCATCTCGCGACTCTACTACCGCGGCGCCAACGCCTGCCTCCTCTGCTACGACATTACCGACGAACAGAGTTTCCAAGAAATGACCGGGTGGCTCCTCGAGCTCAAGAAGAACGTCTTCGAGGACGACCCCATCGTGATCCACGTGGTAGGGACGAAATCCGACATCGTGACCATGGAACCCTCGCGCCGCCGGGTCCCCTTCGAGCGCACCATCGCCTACGTCGCCGAACAGCTCTACCCAACCCAGGCCTCGACCCCTCCGCCGTCCGCGGGATACGGCCCCTCGTCTAGCACGCCCCAGGGCATCGACAGCAAGCGCAGCAGCGGGTTCTGGGGCCAGGATATCGGATGGGACTGCTGTCACGAGATTAGCGCCAAGGATGGGGAGGGCATCGAGGAGGTGTTCCGGGTGATCACGAGGAAGCTGGTTGAGCAGCGCAACAAGCGCGAGGCCGGGCTGAGCCCGTCACTGCTGTCGCCGTCCTCGCTGGATGGGATGCCCCTGGCCAGCCCAGCGAATCTCGATGGCAGCGGTAGCTTCCGGCTGGGGTACGGCGACAAGCGACGCAGTTGGCTTGGATTCCCACCCAGCAGCCAGGGAGATGAGGTCGATGTCCCGGTGGAGGTGGCCAGGAAGAAAGGGGGATGCTGCTGATAGCGCGTTCATTGGCTTTCGTTTTCCGGCTACCATCTACCTTTGCCTGGGATCCTTACAGCTTACATCTTCCTGCTCGGCGCCATCGCATCCACTGCTCGGTCCCTGTATGTTCTTTGCGTTGCGAGGACTTCGGTCGGGCGTTTGTTCTGCATTCGGCATTTCTCTCCCTCATCTTGCATGATTTGATGACGATGTATACGACTTTTGATGCTTCTGTTCTTTATGCTGTGTTTGTACGTTTCTCACCGATCCGGCGAGGTTTTCTTTTCCTTTCTCTTTCTTTATCTTGTGGTTTTGCTTGGACTGCTACACTATGACTGCTGGCATGGCATCGGATTCGGTTGGTCGTTAAATAGATCTTATTAGGGCGCTTCGGGGAGGATCTAATGGACATGATATGAACTGTCTTCAAATATCCTGGTCAGTGAAGTTTACATGCATTATTATGACTGATTATACCACCGTGGTCTTGAGATATCTGTTTCCATAATTCCCAGATCTGCTGCCTTGACACTCCTCATACATCGTCTGGGTTACTGAATACTCAGACAACCTGGCGATATGTCAAGCTCGTTCGACACTTATGACACGCATTCGCTCATTCTCTTGATGTTACTTTCAGGCATAGCGAATGCCGGGCTGCATCTGTCTCCCTGCCTAGCTAGACATGACGTCGCTTCCATGAGAGCTGATGGGTGAGCCAGCTTACATCTCGTCTCTCAAATGCCCCATTGAAAGGTAACATCGTTTTGCCTCTGAGCTACTCACTCAGAGGCTAGTCTCGTCATGGTGTTACAACGGCCTCGATTCCTGATAGCCTTGGCATCGATTATGCCCATTTCTGCGGATAACATATGCGCTTGGATAGTGTGTACTTGCCTCTCACCTACTCAGCGGCGGGTAATTTGAACATCTCTGTTGTATGTGAATTAGGTCTCTGTCCTAGCTATATCTTTTTTTTTTTTTTTTTTTTTTTTACCTTCTAAGCAAAAAACCTTAGAAGGGATACCAACTTTATTTTTAAGATCTTTGGTGTCGATATAATTGTCAGCATTGTCTTTGCTACTTTCTTCTGGTTTTTTTTTTTTAGAATTTGTGTCTTGATCCAGCTGTGGTCTAACTGTGGGATGAAAAAAACAAAAAACAAAAGGGAGTTGTGCTGATTTAAAGATCGTCGTATTGCTGACTCTTTGAGGTATTCGAGGCGAGGGTCCGAATGTGGGACAAGCCTGCCTGGAAACGACTGTCATACGATCGTTCAAAGTTTTTCTGTGTGTGTGTACAAAGTATTGTTAGGTTTTCATGGTCTACGGCCTGCTAGTAAGTAGTTTTCCTACTGTGCACAGGTTACAATTGTGTAAATCTGCAGGCCTCGAATATCAAGATTAGTGACCCTTCTTCACAAGGCAGGCAAACCCGTATCAGGACTTGCCAGATTTGCAACGGGCCAGATCCCTTCCAGGCAAAAGACACAAACTCCGCGCCCGATACGAGCCCCACACCCGCCGGCGGGCTGACAGTCGTCAAAACAAAAAAGACGTGTGTTTCAGACCTGTGACCCTGACCATGACCATGACCACTGCTGTCTTGCTCCAAGATTTTCATGTCTCTCCAAGGGACGAATGAATTGATCGGCAAGCATCAGGTGGGATTGAGGATTGTTCCTATTGATGGATTCGATTGTCCTGGCTCTTTTAATTGCCGAGGTTGTGATTGAAGGATGAGGGGAGAGGGGGGGGGGGAAGGGTGATCAAACAACAAGGGCATTGTTTTCTCTGCTGCTGCTGTACTACATACAACTAAGACTTTCGGATGTCTGTTCCACACACGAGGCGAGTACCGTACAGCAGGGCGTCCGTCGCCTTCTTGGTTGGAATGCGAAACCGTCTAACAAGGCTTGTGTGTGTGTGTGTGAATGATCAAGCTGACTGTCAGTGCAGCTGGGATTAAATCGTGGAACTGGGCCAGAACCAGAACTGCAGACGCAGAGGGAGCAGAGAAAAAAAAAAAAAAAAGGGTTCAAAGTGGAATGGCCGGGTTATCAGTGGCCACTCACACCCGCGGTTGCGGTGGGACGTTTGAGATAGACTCGACCTCGCCAGTGGATCTTTTTGCAGTCGCCCGCCCAGATCGATCAGGCACACCACAATCTCGCCGTCCGCTGGACTGTTCATTTCCCCCCGAGAGCAAGAAAACACGGCACTCGACCTTATTTGTCCCACCGGAGATGGAGTTTTACTGGGAACTTGGCTAAAGGACTGCAATGATCGTCCCGTCATGTTGTCTAACGTGAGGGGGTTAAGAAGATGAGGACGAGGAAGAAGCCTGTATTGTGCAACGCAACTACAAGGGGGGATGGCGACATACTCATTCATGTACTGGAACACCTTACTATGCTACCTACCGAACAATTGCTGCTTGACAATATTATTGCATCGCATTCAATGTCGATGTGGATGTTGATTCTCTGGGACAAGTGAGACCTCTGTCGAGGACCTCGTAAAAATAGCCTGTTCATCGTCCATTGAAATGCTTCACATTGTCTACAAACAACCACTTATCGGCTGGTATTGCCTGAGTCCGTGTAAAATTACCAGTGACAGTACGATACACTATACAACCCTTCCACTCTCCACCAAGCAATCCACCAATCCGCGTAAAGACTGAGTGGTGATAAGCCTCAGGCCCCCGTCGACGGCGCCGGCTCTTGCTTCTTTCCTTTCCGCTCCTTTGCGTCTGTTGCGGTGCTTCATTGCTGCTTTTGCTGCTCTGCTGTTGCTTCTTCTTCTTCTTCTGCTTCTTCTTCCTCTTCTTTTCATTCCTTCTTTCCTCACTCCCTTCCTCCCCTTTTCCTTTGCGGAAATCGCCATTCCCTACTCATAGACAATCCTGTGCGTCATAGAGTAAGTCCTCCTGAAATTGCCCTCATGTTTAATTTGCTGTCTTGCTCTGCCGTGTCCGCTGCCCGCGGTGTCTCTCCTTATTTCTCCGCTTCTTATTAACGACCTCCCTCCTCCCTTCCACCCCCTCTCTTTCTCCTTGCCTTAACTCGATCGCTCATTGGAATCTCTTTCTATCCAGAATTCAGCCACCCACACGCCCCATTCCAAAGCCCCCCCGGCCGTGAGACAGCAAGCAAATGTTATGAAATGAGACTATCCTACCGTATCGGTACGGCCGCCCTCCTTATCGTCGCCATCTTCCTGATCAAGCGCCACCTCGATCTCGTCCAGGATGATTCGCGCGTCCAGTCCGGCTGGAGCTTCAACGGCGTAAGCGGTGGTTCGGGTTCGTCGGAACCAGCAGCCAACGACAAGAGCAAGGATGCCAATATCCCAGCTTCGAAGGAGGAACTCCCGGTCGTGGGAGGTGGGAAGAAGGATCAATCCGCCGCCGCCGCCGCGGACGACGACGACGACGGGATCGCGCTCGGGTCACGGCCAGTCTACGAAACTACCCCGATCATCGTCCCCAATGATCGGGTGATTGTCATGGCCAAATTGGCCGCGGAGGATACAGCTTGGGTTAGCAACGACTTGGCGGAGTATGTTTCCCCTCAATCTAAACTTTATCTTTCCGAGCTCTTTTTTTCCCCCCTCTCTATACATGGCTGCGCCGGAACGCGCTTCTTCAATTGAAGCAGAATTTTCTCGCTAACCGATAATTCTGTCGCAGCTGGCGCAATTACATCTACACCGTCGACGACGTCAATGCCGCCAAACACACCCCCCAGAACAAGGGCCGCGAGAGTCTCGCCTACCTTCAATACATCATCGAACACTACAACGACCTCCCGTCGACAATCGTCTTCATTCACAGCCACCGCGACGGCTACCCGGGCGCCTGGCACACCGACACCATGGAAAACAGCAACGTCGACTCGATCCGCGCGCTGCAGACCGACTTCGTCCAGCGCAACGGCTACGCCAACCTCCGCTGCCAGCTGACCCCCGGCTGCCCGGACGAGGTCCGCCCCTTCCGCAACCCGCCCCAGTCGGGCCAGACCACCGAACGGGTCTACGCGGACGCCTGGGAGCAGCTTTTCAACAACACCGACGTCCCCGAGGTCGTCGCCGTCGCCTGCTGCTCGCAGTTCGCCGTCTCGCGCGACCAGGTGCTCCAGCGGCCCCTGAGCGACTACATGTGGTTCTACGAGTGGGTGCTGACCACCCCGCTGTCGGACAAACTGGCCGCGGGTGTCATGGAGTACACTTGGCATATTATCTTCGGGCAGGAACCTGTCTAGTACGTCCTTTTCCTCTTCCCCCCCGGCGGCGCGCCTCCAAAGGCAACCGATGCTAACCGAAGCGCGTAACAGCTGCCCCGATTCCTACCAATGCTACGAAGACGTCTACGGCAACCCCTACTTCTGGTGATAGATTGCCCTTTCGTCTCTCTCTCCCTCTCTCTCCCGTCGCGTCTGTACAGAATACCCCGCCCCCGTTTCTTTCACCTTCCTCCGTTATCCCATCTATCATCTACCTTGTAATCTTTCTTCCCCCACCCCGCCGTTCGCCCTTCTCTGGCCTTGAATTTGGCGACGATCTCACGCAATGTCCTCTATCTATACTTCGGTGGTGCTGGCTGTATATTTCTTGGAAATCTGGTTTCCATTTTTCTATCTATTTAAAAGTTCTATCTATGAGCAAATATACATGATAACTGAAATTAAAGTTTTTTTCTTCTGAGTGTACGTTCAGGGGTAAGTTGGGAGATTCTGGTAGGATGGACCTGCCATAAAGCACTGGGACTGAGCTATGGCAATCTGATAGCCATGTGTCTTATTCAGGGTGCTTGCTTGTCAATCTTGCGAAAAGCGCTCATTCTGACTTATTCTCGAATTTTTCGGCGATAAGACTGTGGATTCTGACTATTTGCGAGTGCTACGCGCAGGGTCTGTTTGGATGCAGACAAACAGGCAAATAGTCCAGTATGCTCGATTGAATATGATCGAGAGACACAGACTCTTCTCTCCACCAGAGTCCACCCTGGTATACGACGACCAAGAATGTCACCCATGCAATCATCGTATATCATATGTAAGTATGTAACTATGTATGTATGTATGTACATCAAGAAACGAAAGACAAAATAAATCACAACCCCTCCCTCCCGGCCCAGTGCCATAGCCAATAATTAGTAAGTAACCCGGTATGCCAGAGTCCCAATCCATCTGACCGCTGCAAGCTAGTCTACCACATTCGGGAAAAGTCGAGATCCCAGTCTAGATCGGAAGCAACATGCACCACCGGGTGTAACCCGCCGGCAGGCCAACCAACCAAGCATAGATATGTAGGTAGCCTAACCTCTAACCAATGCTCCTCAAAACCACCTTCCGAAAAGCAAAGCGACGCGGAAAAGCTATACAATCTCACCACGCGAATCGAGCCAGAAGCCCGTTCGGCCATCGCCTCACTCCGGCTTTCCGCAGCTCATCGAGCACCACGATCCCCACCCCGAATGCCGCAGGCAGGAAGTAGTGGATCGCGGGGACGCTGGTCGTGTTCAACGTGCGCTGGAGCGGGGGGGTATAGAGCCAGAAGATGGCCATGACGAACGCAAACAGTATGGCGGGGAAGAGGAGCAGGTTCTGGGTTTTCTTGTTGAAGGCCGGTGGGTGCGAGAAGATGGAGAGGCGGCGGGTGCGGACGGCCATGAGGTTGAACCATTGCCTGGTGTTGGTATCGCTGTTAGTTGTCGGAATGAGGAGGGAATACAGGCGAGCAGTGATGAAAGCAACTTACATCACGACAAGGTTGACAAAGTAGACGGAGCTGGCTTCGTTGAGGCGGGCTGTGAGCCAGTCTTGGTCAATGTCGGAGGGGTAGTTGCCGAACTTGAACCAGAAGACGGAGAAGGGGACGCCGTTACGCTCAAGGTACCAAAAGGCCATGGCGAAGGAGCAGACGGTTTCGATAATGCCGAGAACACCGTATGCGTGGAAGATGAGTTTCCAGTTCACGAGGCGGTTCTGCTTGGGCTTGCGGGGGGGACGGAGGAGGACGTCCGCTTCGGGTTTTTCGTAGGCGAGGACTGTCGCGGCCGCGCAGTCTGTGAAGCAGCTGATCGGAATGAGCTTGTTAGTTAATGCGACTGATGGTAAAAGGACGAGGAGCTTACCAGATGATGATCATCAGAAAGGATGAGAGGACTTGGGGAAGCCCGAAAACGACATTGCAGAAGACAGGCCAGAACTCTGAGAACGAGCCCGCAGGGAGAAGATAGACAATTGTCTTTTTCAAGTTGTCAAATACAACCCGTCCGTACTGCACCGCTTCGACAATGGCAGAGAATGACTCCAGAAGAACCATGTCAGAGGCCTCGATGGCAATGTCGGACCCGCTGCCCAATGCGATGCCGATGTCAGCTGCCTTCAGAGAAGGCGCATCGTTAACACCGTCGCCAGTCATGCCGACAATCTCGTCTCTGGCGCGGAACTCGCGAACAATACGAAGCTTTTGCTCGGGAGTGGTTCGCCAAAAGACGATTTCCTGGTACTGACAGAGTTGTTCCCATTGCTGATCATTGAGGCTCATAAGATCAGCTCCACTGATAGTGATCGCGGAGGCAGTAGGAGGACTGGAGGCCTTCTCGGAGTCCATTGATTGTCTAAGAGCAGTTGCATCATCAACGAGACCGTTTGTGCTGACAATTCCACATTGCCGTGCGATAGCCAGCGCGGTGAGGCCAAAGTCACCGGTCACCTGGTAGAGACGCAGTCAGCACAATGCAGCCCAGATCTCAATATCTGCACGGGATACGCACCATGAAGATCCGAATCCCTGCACGTCGCAGGGTACTGATGACTTCTGGAATTTCTTCCCTCGGAGGATCGACGATACCGACCAAGCCGACTAGAACTAGCCCGGCCTTCGCTTGCTTCAGCATTTCAGTCTCATACTCGTGTGAGGATGGCTGAAACATGATTTCAGCGGAAGGGAGAACTTTTCGCGCGAGGAGAATTACGCGCTTTCCTTCTGCAGACCACTGGTCCTTGACTTCTTTCATCCGAGTCAGCATCCGTGCTTCCAGTGGCTGCACGCTGCCATCCAGATCAATGAATCGCGAGCATCGGTCGATGAGAATGTCTGGTGCACCTTTAATCGTGAAGAGACTACCCAAAGTCTGTAAGTATGTTGCACAAAGGAGTGCGCGTTGCCAACTTACATATCGCTGCGCTTGAACTGAGCAGACTCTGTGGCAGACATCGCGAGTCCCAGTCCTTCTGGTTCAGCAAGTGTGAAAGTCCGTACCATAAACTTATTTTTGCTATTGAAAGCCAGCTCATAAGTCTTTTTCCAAGTTTGGCGCAGTTTAGCTACCGATCCAAAACTTTCGGATAACCTCAGGACGGCTTGATCGGTCGCATTCCCATGGATCTCTCTCTCGTGGAGCGGGAGCTGCATTGATGCGGCATCGAATTCAGCTGCATTGCAGAGACCGGCCATGGCGCGAAGCTGGTGGACTCCGCTCTTCTTGCCCTTCCTGTTCATCTCATCCCTTGCCGAATCAGGGCTAAAGCAGGTTGTCGAGATGGCACACTCTGTAACAAACATTTTGTTCTGGTGGGGCGCAAGGTTAGTGGATAGTGACGCTCTGGCAATTGCATGAGACAAACCCTTGTCAACGTTCCAGTCTTGTCTGAGCAGATTACAGAGACAGCACCCAGAGTCTCCACAGTCTTCAGCGATTTACACAGAATCTTGTTCTTGCTCATGAGATTAGCGGTGATTGTCAAATTCGCAGTAAGAGCGATTGGAAGGCCTTCAGGAATGAATGCGATAGCAACGCTCACGCAGTCGACGATCAGAGTAGGGACATTGATCCAGTCAGGATGTTCTTTTCGAAGCCATCCAGCCCTATGGATTGTGAGTATCGAGCAACATGCTGCGCTTCAGGCAAAACATACCAGACCCCGACAACAAGAATGATCATAGCTAGCATGATCGCGACAATGAACGACACGAAGCGCAGGATCTCCTTTTCTAAGGTGGTCAAGCCTTTCTTGGGCTCACTCGTCAGCTTGGCAATACGACCAAAGACAGTCGAGTCACCAGTGGAGACGACGACGCCT